TTCCATACTCCATTATTACTGTGTACACAAAGAGGGTCCATGTTTATAAAGCCTGAATGAACACATACTGGGACATTCCCTTTTCTTTTTTCTTTCTTCTCTTCTATGCACGTTGGCTTAGGCTTTGTTATAAGCGTAAGAGGTCATTGAATGTAGTGTTTTGGGTGGGTCCTCCTCTTTCTACATACGTCTCTAATCCTCCATGCTATACATGTACACTGCCACGACCACTGCCACACATATCTCCTCTCACTCGGGCTATTTCCCAACCCCTCATCCCCCTTTTCTTTTCTTCTCTTTAATTTATTTTTGCTCCAGCCCCTCTACTCTCTTATCGTCTATCTATCTCATTATACTCCTTTATGCTGGGTAAAACCTCGTACAGACCAAGGAAGATTCATTGCTGGAGCTGAGTGTTCCTCGTACGTCATCCCCAGATCTGTGTCTATGCATCCCAATCTCCATACCCGTTTCTTACACCAATACCTACTTCAATACCCATCAATACCCATCAATACCCATCTTCGTACTCATCTTACCAACCAGACCCGAAGCCAAGTTTGTAACTGACTGAACCTGACCTGACTAACCAACAAACAGGTGACCGACCTCCAATCCACCACCAACCACCACTTAACCTTCCCAGTCTAACCTGTCTTATTTCCTCCACGTCCTGTCCATTGGTCAAATCATTTTATCCTGCTATTTGCCCACCTTCTCTCTCTTCCCTCTCTTCTTTCCTCCTGCTTGCTCTCTTGTGCTCGCTCTCTTTCGTGCATTCTTGGCGCTCGCCGTTTCTTCTCAACTCGCCCCATTCGGACCTGCCGCCCACCCCCCCCCCCCCCCCCCTCCCCTCCGAAGCTACTCCACCACCGACCTACACCTCGCCCAAAACGGATTCTCTTTCTCTTCTACGATAGCACATCCCCCACCCTCACCCTCCCCTCCTCCCCCAAAAAGAGATGGCACAAAGTCGACCTGGGTTGTTCCCAAGTTTGCGCATGGGTGGTAAGAACTCCTTCACTCCGTTGGTGCTGGTCAATTGCGCCTGTCTTGAGTTTCCGTGATTTCCAAACTGACGTCTCTCTCTTCATCTTTCCCGCGCAGAGGTCATCCGCGAAAAGGTCCAAGATGGCCTGACAGGGGAGCACAAGGAGATCTCGTATACCCAGTGCAAGATCGTCGGCAATGGATCGTTCGGTGTCGTGTTTCAGACCAAGATGGCCCCCAGCGGCGAGGACGCTGCCATCAAGAGAGTCTTGCAAGACAAGCGGTTCAAGGTAAGGCGGACGTTGGCGGAATCCTGAATCCTCTGAATCCTCCATGGGTTTGGAGATCTCTTCTCTCCCCAGGCTAATCCATTTGTCTTGCTTTCTTGCAGAATCGTGAGCTTCAGATTATGCGGATCGTGCGCCATCCCAACATCGTCGAACTCAAGGCTTTCTACTACTCTAACGGCGACAGGGTACGTGTGTGACGGACTCACTTTCTTCTTCTTCTTCTTCTTCTCCCCTCTTTCGCTGCACTGGCTCCCTCCATCTCTCCTCCCATCTCTGTCTCTCCCTCTGCTACTGTTTCTTTCCCCGCCCGGCTGACCTCGCTGTTCTCTTAACCCGTGACTACAGAAAGATGAAGTGTACCTCAATCTCGTCCTCGAATACGTCCCCGAGACCGTGTACCGCGCATCGCGGTATTTCAACAAGTTGAAGACGACAATGCCCATGCTGGAGGTCAAGCTCTACATCTACCAACTCTTCCGGTCGCTGGCCTACATCCACTCACAAGGCATTTGCCATCGCGACATCAAACCCCAGAACCTGCTCTTGGATCCCAATACCGGCATCCTCAAGCTCTGCGATTTCGGATCCGCCAAGATTCTCATCGAAAATGAACCCAACGTGTCCTACATCTGTTCTCGGTACTATCGAGCGCCAGAGTTGATCTTCGGTGCCACCAACTACACAACGAAGATCGGTACGTTGTTGTATTCCCCTCTCTCTACTCCCATCTCCTCTACCAGCCCGGTGTGGCTAATTCCTCCATAGATGTGTGGTCAACTGGCTGTGTGATGGCTGAGCTCATGCTGGGTCAGCCGCTCTTCCCTGGTGAATCCGGTATTGACCAGCTGGTGGAAATCATCAAGGTGCTCGGCACCCCGACCCGTGAGCAGATTCGCACCATGAACCCCAATTACATGGAGCACAAGTTCCCTCAAATCAAGCCTCATCCCTTCAATAAGGTATGTCGTTGATGCTCTGATCTTTTTCCCTCGGTCGCACGATCGTTGGCGGGGGAAATAGTGCTAATAATGCTGACCAACCCAGGTTTTCCGCAAGGCACCCCCAGAGGCCATTGACCTCATCTCGGCGCTTTTGGAATACACTCCCACCCAACGGCTGTCGGCCATTGAAGCCATGTGCCATCCCTTCTTTGACGAACTGCGGGACCCAACCACCCGGTTACCAGACTCGCGACACCCCAACAACCCGCCCAAGGACTTGCCCGCCCTTTTCAACTTCACACGGCATGGTGAGTGCCAGCCCTGAGACTTTTGTCTTTTGTCTTCTTTTCTTCTGTGCTACTCGTTCCATATTTTCATCCTGGTCTGCGCGAGCAAAACTAAATATCCCTTAGAACTCTCCATCGCTCTTGAATTGAATAACCAGATCGTCCCCCCTCACGCTCGCCCGGCTCTGGAAGCTCAAGGTCTCGACATCAACAACTTCAAGCCCTTATCCAAAGAGGAGATGATGGCTCACCTCGACTGAGTCGATTGATACCACCTCCGCGAGGGACACGTCCGTTTGTTAATGCGTTCCGCACCTGTGCATGAGTATTCGATGACCTAACCGATCCGACAACCTATCATGTTTCGAGTGGGCTCTGAATCAAGAGCACGGAGGGGGTTCCCATTGTCTATTGCTGAGTCTGTACACCCTTTTTGGACTTAGCGGGGGAGCCACGGTGAGGAACTGCACATCTTTGTCGAGTCGGAGAAGGTGGAGGGACGAGGGAAAGTGTGAAAGGAAAGACGAGCGAATGAAGGTGACGAGAAGGGGCGACAATGGAATGAGGTTTGGAGAGGACCTGGACGTGCAAACGCAGAAATATGGAACATTTTTCTTTCTTCCATGGCCTTTCTCCCTCAATGGCCAGAAAAAAAGGGAAAAATCTTTCGAATTGGTACAAGTGGACGGGTGTCGGTAACCGTGGAGGAGTCTGATGATTGTTACGTCAACTGGTGGGGAGGTCCATGACCTGGAGTTTTGATTTTTGGAGGTGTCTGCGACATGCTCTTGGGAGGAAAAAGTGATACCCTTTTCTGTGCAAGTCTGACCTGTCGGGGACTGAAGGCTGCATAGCTCCGCCGGTTGAGGGAGAGAGAGGAGATGGGAATCTGGATCTGGACTGGTTGAACATTCGGGAGAGCCCTATGACCCCCCTATGGCCGTCGTGCCTGACTGATGCCCTGATATCTCCGAGACAATGAACCAGAGATGCATCACCGATGGTTGTGGTGTTTCCCGCTTCTGGTTCCTCGGCTTTCTTTTGTTTCTTTTTCTTCATGTCGATTTCCAATGTTTCCTGTGATGGGGGCTACCGCTGGGCCTGATTGGGTCTGATCGGATGGAATTGGATCTGATATTCTGATTATCTGATTATCTGATCCGTGATATCTGATTCTCGTCTTGATCGGGACCTCGGTCTGAACCTTTTCTTTTTCCTTTGGAACTGGAAATGGAGATCAAATGTACCCCCAGCCTTTTCTGTCCCTTTCGACCTGCAGCGCTAGAATTCTGTTCTTTTCTTCCCCCTTTCCGTCCATTTTTTTGGCTTTGTTTTTTCTGGGTCCGTACTTTTTTACTCTACCTTCCCCCCATTATCCTATTTACCTTTTTCTTCCATGTTCTCATTTTCCCTGCCTGTGTCTGTGTCTCTTGCCTCTCTCCGTGTCTCGATGTCTTTGTTGCAAATGTCATTTATCCTGGTTTTAGCGGGCTCGGCTGGTCCCTGGTTCCCTCCCTGGTTCTTCCCCGGTTCGGAGTCTCGAATTCTCAAATGTCGACTTGCCTTTACCTCCCCCAACCTTCAGTTTATCTATCGACTTCTCTCTCCACCCTCGTACTCCCTCCTGCCTGAGCCGGCGATGAGCTACTCGTTTCAGTTGAAGCAGATGGGTTTTCTTGTCAAGGTCTGGTCCGGTCTGGGTGTATTGTTGTAGATGGTGTAGTGTAGTCGTGGGAGAGGGTAGGTTTACTTTAGGGTATGTGTAGAGTGAACGTGGTAGAGAGTTGGCTATACCTCACCGATGTATAGATCTTGGGAGTTGTGTTTACTACCATTACCATTATGTTCGCCAGTTGGCCTCGTGCGAGTACAAAATTCATGCCTTGTCAATTAGTTGGAGTATTCGAATTGAAGTATACTAGCCTTTTCGGAAGACTTACCCCCTTGCTCGTTTGAATCGTCGATTGTATAAGATTTGATAATCTGCGTACTAGCTTAGAATAGCGCGGAATAGCAGGTAGAGTCTTGTTATTCCTGCTACGAGGATACACAACCACCACCTTTACTTTTAGGGTTTACCTACTACTGCAACCTCGAGAAAGGGAGACTGTCTTCTTGATGTCGAAGATAATGTCGATCGTTGACCATGCTTTTCTATACATGCAGAACATCAGAACACAAAGCAAAACCCAGCCCAGCCCAGCCTTCTATGAGTCATGGTTGAAAAACTCCAAATGTTGAATATCGTCCTCCTTCGAAGCTCCAACCTCCTTCGAAGCTCCAACCTCCTTCGAAGCTCCAAGCCCCACGCTTCAAGATTCAAGATCCAAAATCAAACAATTAAAATGCAGCAAAAACCCCTGCCCATGCCCTGGTGGTTGAACCCGATGATTGTTGAATGGCACATTGGTAACAAGACTCCCCACGCTGCATCCCAAAACAAACGAAAGAATAACCACCAAAAAAAGGTTGTAAAAAAAGAAAGATTATACCTACTCATCACGCTTCTCCAACCCATACCCACCAATCCCATCCGTAGCCCCATAAGTCTTCGCCTGACCAGAAACCCCATTCCTCGGTCCCCTCGACTTAAGATCCTCCTTCAACCACTTCAGCACCAACTCACCCAACCGACTATTTTCCGACGTCCAATCCGGCACCTGATCATAAAACGTCTCCAAAGCACCCCAAGCCCTAACCTTGCCCAAATGCATATGCACAAGATGCGTCGGCCACTGTGCCAGATTATCCAGAATATGCGTCGCATAGACAATAGTGCAAGGCCGGGACTCAGTCTCCCTCTTGAGAAACGCGAGAAAGTTGCTCCGCGAGAGTAAATCCAAATCCACGGTGATTTCGTCTAGCAGGAGTACCGTCCAGGGTCGGAGCAGGCCCATGGCTAGCTGGACGCGCCGCCGCTCGCCGTCGGATACGGCGTGCATGCGCCAGCGCAGGTCGATGTCGAGGATGTCGACTAGCTCGTCGCGGCGGGCGGGCCAGACGTTGCCGCCTACCGAGGCGAGGAGGGTGGGGACGTCGATGTCTGTGCGGACGATGCTGTTAAGCACCCATTCGACGCCGAGGTAGGTTACGCCTTCGAGGGTGTCTTTGAAGGGGTCGACGCCGCCGACTGTGATGGTGTGTGTGGGCGCGAGCCGTTTGCCGGAGAGGAGGCGGAGGAGGGTGGTTTTACCTGCGCCGTTGGCTGTAGATAGTCATTAGCATTGGCATTGGCGTTGGCATTGGTATTGGCATTAGCAGTAGTTTTGGGAATAACGGAGCATTGGAAGATTGGGGATGTATTTGTTGTTTCTTTTTGGGGGAGGACAAGGACAAGCATGTACCGCCGATTAGAAGGGTTCGACTGCCGGCGGGCAGATCGAGGGTTACGTGTTCGAGGCCTTCGGAGCCATCTTGGAATTTGTAGGAGAGGTCTTTGACTGCGATTGAGGGGTCGGGCGTGGAGATAGACATGGTGGGGGTGGTTGTGGAAGGTGTTGGTGTGGAATTGGCAAGTGATGAGGGTGAATAGAGGGAAAAGAAAGGAGAATAAGAAATGCGGGAATAAACAAATATGAGTCACAGCTTTGTCAAGTCCCAAGTCCTTGGAGCAAGGTAGTATTCGAGTTGGAGAAGGAAACTAGACTGAAGGTTAATAATGTTAGCGTCTTCGCTGTCGTGGACGCGGATGAGGTAATGTCCGATGTCCGATAAGGACCCCCGCGATAACGGCACTTCTTTTTCTTTTTGTCCTTTACAGTCTGGACAGTCTCGTGCATCATCTGCCACCCCCGCAAAGGCAACATGTGGAGCTCGGTATGCTCTCAGCCCTTCGATCTTTCACTCCCAGTCGAAGAGCAATCATGGATCCCCTCATAGCCGTTGTCGGTGCCACGGGTACTGGCAAGTCTAAGGTAATAGCCCATCCCGCAAGCTCAGCAGCCCAGCTAGCTAGCTCTAGCTACCTGACTAGCTACCATCCCTCCTCTTCCGGGCAACGAGAACGAAACAAGCAAAGTGCAATGACTAACAGGTGCAGACAGCTCGCTGTGGACTTGGCAGCCCGATTTAACGGAGAAATCATCAACGGCGATGCAATGCAAATGTATCGCGGCCTCCCAATCATCACGAACCAGATCCCCATCGCCGAACGCAAGGGCATCCCACACCACCTATTGAGCTGCGTCGATCTCGAAGCCGAGGCCTGGCGAATCAGCCACTTCAAAAGGAAGCACTGCGTCTTATCACCGAGATCCGGAGTCGAGGAAAATTACCCATCCTCGTCGGCGGAACGCATTATTATACCCAGGCCGTGCTATTCAAAGATCAATTGGTCAGCGAAGGATCCGGATCTGACGTTGAAGATGGCGTGGACGCAGACGGAGCCGGATACGAGGAAATACCATCTACATCTGAGAAATGGCCTATCCTCGATTCACCGCCGGAAGTCCTGATGGAGAAATTAAAGGAGGTGGATCCTGTCATGGCGGCGCGGTGGCATCCCAAGGATGCGCGGAAGATCCGCCGATCTCTCGAGATATATTTCCAGACTGGACGGCCTGCTTCGGAGATTTATGCTGAACAGCAGGCGCAGAAGGAGAAGGCTGTTTCGGAGTGCGAGGGGCTGCTGCGGTTCGATCATACCCTGATCTTTTGGGTTCACGCCGAGAAGGACGTTTTGAATGCGCGCCTGGATGCGCGTGTTGATGATATGGTTCAGCAGGGGTTGCTCGATGAGGCTGAAAGTATGTTTGAATTTTTGCAGCGGAAGGAGGAGCAGGGGGTTTCTGTTGATCTTACGCGTGGTGTGTGGGTGTCAATTGGGTTTAAGGAGTTGGCTCCGTATTTTACGGCGCGTCGGAAGGCGGAGATGAGTGAGGAAGAGCTTGATGCGTTGCGGAGTAGGTGTATTGAGGCTATTCGGACTGCGACGCGGCAGTATGGTGGATCTCAGGTTAAATGGATTCGGAATAAGTTGTGGCGGGCTCTTGCTGAGGCGGGCATGACGAGGAGGCTGTATCTTCTCGACAGCAGTGATGTCAGTCAATGGGATGGGTGTATCACGGAACCCTCTGAGCAGATTTTCCAGTCGATGTTGCAGGGTGACACCACGCCGGATCCAAAGTCGCTTTCCATGCTGGCGAAGACGGTGCTTGGAGCGAAAGAGGAACAAGCGCAGGCGCAGCCTGGATCGGCGATGAAGAGCTTTACCTGTGATGTATGCGGGAAAACTGTGGTGGGTGATGAACAGTGGGAGAATCACCTCAAGAGTTACAGTCACAAGCGAGGGGTCAAGTCCGCGGCGAGAAAAGCCGAGCGAGATGCGTATTTTCGGATGAAAGAGTTGGAAGCCCAGAAGGGAGAGAGAGAGACCGAGGTTGATTCTGAAGACAAGTTGAATCCATCGCCTTGATTTGGACAGCAAGCAGATATCAGTGCATCATCTTGCATTAAATTACCATATAAATCATACATATCATCTATCAAGCCAAATACATTTACAATATTCCACCCATATAAAGGACGCTTGGAGCTTAGAGCTTCTAGTAGGCTATACTAATAAGTGTCGCGGCCTAGTCCCCGAAATAGTCTTCTGCCCTGCCTAAACCGGCAACCCTTGAAAAAAAGGTATTTTAGTTCTAGATCAACCCCGAGGTTCGGCACTCCCGACATAGGGCTGTTCAAGGGAACGCGACGCGTTCGGCATTGTTGGCAAGTGGTGTGGACGTGCATATAATGTGGGCGAGTGAGGTGACGGAGGAAAAAGCCAAGAAAAATTTCTACGAAGCAACCGGAAATCTATTTTGTCTACAGTATGTCGAACCATGGAGCGGGTAACTTCCTGCTAGGACAGACTTGCCGTAAAACCCTGTATCATAGCCATCTATGGGGCATTTCAACCTGCCCCATGACTCGTTCTTTCTTCAATCGATCAGCCTCTTCATCCAAGAGTGGTTCCGCTTGACCCGATCATCTATCCCATTATCCTATAGAGATTACTAGCCCATCCTGTTCCAGCTTGTGCCGACATTTTATAATGGAGGTAGGTGGCCTGTCCGGCTGGGAATTACCTTAAGTTACAGATATAACAGTCGATAGGTGACTATCCAAGGGAGATCGGCTAGACCACCACCACAGAGAAACATGATCGCTACTTGTTCCGCTGCTTGTTACGAATCTTATATGAAGAGCACTTAACACTATTTTCATTCTAGGGTACTGAAGGACTGCGTCATTCACTTGGCCCACTCTCCATCTGCTGATTTTGAAGACTGATCTACAAAAGGCCCTCCAGGCAAAAAATACAAGTAATATTACTGCAATAACCACAGAGCATCATACAATACTTGTTCTATAAAATACTTGAAATTGCACCACTTTGCCTCGGCTATTTAGAATCAACGTATCTTTCGTTCACCCTGATCCTCCTATATAGATAGAAATTCAATTAGTACACAACATTCAGCGAGGTAGGCGTAGGGTGGATATGTATTCACCTTCAGTATATCTAGTAGAATTGCGAAGGTCTGAGCTCCAGAGTTCGAACTAGGTCATCAGATCGAGAATTTCATGCTTTCTGAGTGGTAGGAATTCTCACTCCAAGCGTTACCTGAAATCATGTCTCGTCACGTGTATGAGCAAGGTTCCGAAGCTGGAACTTTCCCTAAAATTGCTAACGAGGGGCTAGAAGCCTCTTATTTATCAGACGGATCTGTAGATATTGGGGGTTCTAGAATCCGATGGGGTGGATTGAACCAAGTGGCAATTTATCGCTCGGTAATGCTCAAGTCCTCATATATTGGAACGAGCGGAAGATGTATGTCGGAACCAGTCATGAGGAGCCAACCAAAGTAGCTGTGGCAAAGGCTACCGGGAGACGAGTGGGGTAGTATACCACTTATTGGGATGATGATTATCTGGCAATTTCAGAAATGAAACGAGCTGATGTCAACCAGAAGAGTGCAGTCACTTTGAGCACCATTCAAGCCGTTTGCATCCACGCGTACTTTGGATACAGATGAATATATTGTGGTGCGATGACATCACAAGTGCTCCAAGAGATATTATAATACATTTGTACCCGCTTGAAGTACGACGAATGTAATTAATTGCTCAACGTTTCCGCCGCGGTTGTTCACTACCTTCATAGGCATGGTCTTTCTACAAAGATGGCCTCGAGCTTAGAGGACTTTCACACTGCCACAACTATCACAATCCCCCGTCGACCACCTTCAGTCAGTCATAAAAAAATTATTATTTGCTGTGACGGGACTTGGAATAATGAGATATTCCCCATTCCAATCACCAATGCCTCGAGAATATCCCGCTGCATAACAAATTTTGACCGGCAAGGAGTCCCGCAGGTCGTATATTACCAACCAGGAGTTGGAACAGGTACTTCAAAATTGGGTAATATAGTTGAAGGTGCTACTGGGAGAGGTAAGCAACGTCGCTCCTCATTAGCGGTAGCTATAGCTGACCGACCAGGGCTGTATGAGAACACTCTTGAGGCATACAGCTTTATTTGCCATAATTACGCTTGGGACACACAGAGAGATGAGATATATCTGATCGGATTCTCGAGAGGTGCCTTTACTGCGAGATGCATCGCACAATTTATTAACGATGTTGGCCTGCTTCACAAATGGGGTCTTGTCAACCTTCAGACCCTTTTCGGACTTTGGAAGAAGCAGGATGAAGTCAGCGATAAAGACAGAGTGAAAACAACGGAGGAGTTGTTGCAGCTATGTGTGGATCTTGAAAAGAAGGGACAATTAAGGAGGAAGATAAAAATCAAAGTTTGTGCGGTATGGGACACGGTTAGCTCGTTAGGACTCCCAACAGTGGGCGAATTCCCACAGCTATTTTCGCGGAAGCTACGATTTGTCGGCTCGGATATGTGTGACAGCATACAAAATGGCTTTCAGGCTCTTTCATTGCACGACCATCGACGTCCTTTCAGCCCTATCGTTTGGAAAGCTCCCCATGATCTCGGCAACCGGACATTGAAACAGTGCTGGTTCGTGGGCTACCACTCTGATGTTGGCGGCGGGTACAAGTGCGATGGCCTTGCACATCTTCCACTGGTGTGGATGATGTCTCAACTTAAGGACTATTTATGGTTTGACCTTGCAAGTTTGTGGAACAAGGTCATCGACGGTTCGTTGGGTTTGCGCAATTGTATCCCACATGGTATCCATGCACTACAAAGTAAGTTTAACAGATATGATTAACCATTGATAAAACAAAACTAAATTTGTAAGTGGGTTTGAGGGACTCTTACTCTGGATTATTTCGATTTGGTGGTTCAGCGATTCGGAGACCGTGTGAACAGTTTTGGGATGAGAGAGGATTATCAATAACATCGCATCCAGAAGCGACTCTCTCTCATGAGAAAATGCATTTCACTACGCGAATCCTTCTTGGCAGTGGACTCTGTGAGCCTCCTTTATCTCTAAAGGACAGCCACGTGAATATTCTGAGGAATGGATCACGCAATCCGAGGGTTGTGTGGACATTTGGGACATCATCCACACCGAGAAAGGAATATGAGATTGAAGAGGATCTGCCAGGAAGTTTTGAAATGGACTTGCTCAACGAGTGGCTTCAACGTGATCTGGATGAGCAGAGACGGCTGATGAGAGTATGGGATGAGAGGGATATTACCCCTACACAAGAGGATCGCGAAAATTTGGGCGCATACCATGACCATACACAAACTCTGATAAACATTCTCAGCGAGGCAGGCAATCCTACCCTCGAATGGTCATCTGCTACTTTTCCTTACGCCTCAGGAGGGTGGTCTCTGTTGCGTGTTGGTCTACCTTGCTTGGCTTTGTCTGCTTTTGGAATCCTTGCTCTCACTAGAATCTTTCATCAGGAGTCCGTGTAACGACGAAAAGATCTCAGTTTTGAAGATTTTGTTGCAGTTAAGGCCACAAGGATATTGTGTTTCGAGCTAGGATCTGCCTTTACTGATGTCTTCCCCCTACCAGCCCTTGTGTTCTTTGATATCCACTCAATTGTTGTTCAACTGCAAAAGCAAGCTTCGATGTTCAAGGGTCTACTAAAGCAACGGTCAAATATCCCGCCGACCTCGACGAAAGAATGCTAGATCAAATTATCAAAGGGTGTGCTGTGACGATCCATAATGCAGCGCTACAAGTGCAAGAAAAGACAACGCCAATCTTCGCGCAGCGAACGAGAAGAAATGCCAGAAACATACACGATCGAATCGGAGATAGCACCTATACAGGGCGGTCTGCCTAATCTCCCAGATCAGCCGGCCAAAAGGGCTTCGCCAAGGTGTAGTTGATGCGAGGACATTGGCCACAAGATCAAATTATGTCAAAATCGCTATATATAATTTAATCAAGGCGTTTTGATTGGGATATCCTAGTTTGATATTTTGTAACGGGGGTAGGTGAATTCCAGGATCCAGTTCTCAAAACTGACGCAGCTAGAATGGAGCGGTGCTGGATGAAGGCCGATGATCAAGAAATACAGATCAGAAGTTCACTTCCCCGCAAGCGTGGCAGTGGATACTATCACGAGTGTAGGTGGTATATTGCCCCAGAGAGGCTACTAAAAGTTCGAGGAATTTGGGAAGATTCCATAGCCTCGTGAGTTTTGCGATTTACATTTACTTTTGAAATCCAGTTTCCAAGCATGTTTGATTGGCATATCGTGCTGAGGAGGTATGATCAAGTATCCTTCCAGTAGAGACTCGGATCTGTGGGGACTGCAAAGAGTCTATCCATGAGTCCATCGGACTTTTTAGAAGTTTCTGAAAGATCAAATACAGTTATACAAGACTGTCGAATTGGCCTTACAGCTTTTCGAGTTCAGAGGTCATCTCCGAATCTAGATACTACCTTTATGAAAAAAGTATGAAGTGCAACAATGTGCTGACCCGTGAAATCGATTTACACCCTACGCAACAACTTCCCGACGCATATCGCCGACTAAACAGTCTGTCGATCAAAAGAGACCACTATCGCAATCCTTCGGGGTTACCCAAATGAAGCAGACACCATAGGCCAAGCTTGATATACAGGGGCCGAGAGAATGGAATGTTACCGCAGGCAAACACACGTTTCACATAGTCGTTCCTGCGAACGAAGCGAGAACTGAGGCTGCTGCTGCCACAGATACTGCAGATACTGTCCCGAACTTCTCTCCAGCACTTTGATCACTGGGAATATTATAGAGAATCACTTATATACTAGATACTAAAAGCCTATAATGGTTACGAAATGTCGGCCCTGCATCTGCCTGGTTTATCAAACAGAGGAATATTAGAGGCGATAAGTTGACAAAGAGTAAGAACTCTCTCCATTCTCGTCCTTTGCAGTGAGTGGGCGGATGTTCCTCAGAATTATTAGAGGAATCTGCGTAACAGCAGGATATATCGTGCCTGTGCTACTGCAGAGAAGGTGATAAGAAAAGATAGACGACCAAATCCCGGAGAACAATTTAGCTAAAGTCTGGGATATTCGAGCCGTCTTTCACAGGAAATAGATCTTATCCTGATGGATTGAAACGAATAATCCACACGAAGTCCTTAGGCGTGACTTAAAGTCCTCGTCTTCCTCTAGATCGAGGTCAAGAATAGATTTTGATATACTATCAACATTAAATGCAATATTCATTTCAGAGAGTGTTAACGGCCGACTCGCCGCCAAAATAATGCTTAAGGCCCTCTAAACTATCGGGTCTTTCTTTAACTTATTAAGGATCCGCTTATATACCTCATAAATATTTAGTAGCAGGGTTAAAATAGTGGAATCGACTCTATTAGGTGTCTGTTTGAAGTGTTCTGTCGTTAAGTAGTTGAATACAAGGTATACCTAGAGGTAGGTACGGTACGAAATTCTAAGCAATCTCTTTGTTAGGTAGCCTTTAACGTTATCTAAGAGCCGTTTTTCTTTTACTAGCTACTCGGCTTAGTATTAGATAATATATTTAATTTCTCGACTGATAGTTTCGGACTCTTCCTCTCCTGGTATACGGATATACATAGGGGAATAACTCTAACGGGCCTATAAACTTACAGACGATCTATTTAACTAGTTAATCAGACAGAAGAATCAAGCAGTGGAAGGTTGATTCGGATGGTCTACTATGCCCGGTAATTCTACCCGTGATAAAAGAGATGTGAAACTTGTTTATTTTAACTAGGAAACAGAGTGCAATTGATAACATAGGGTACACAGCAAATATCACATGGAGAAATCAAGAACATTCGAGGTCATTTTGGAGTGTTGAGTATTCTCCAGCCTAGATAGGCAATGTTGACGAGATCGTTGAGGATCAATATGATATATCAAGCGGGGTAAGCGGGGTAAGCAGCAAGGTTCATCTAGCAGGAAGCATGATCCCTCCAGGATCCAACAGAGTAGGAAGCCGACGTAAGATCTTATGCTGCATACGCATATTTATATGCTGACAGAAGCTATATAAGAAGCTATCTATCTAGCTAACCTATTTAACTATCTAAACGATAGATTAGGTCTAGGCTATATATCTAGTAAGCCTGCTAGTTACTCCGTCAAGGAAGTCTCTCGCCATGTCTTGAACGTCGATGAAAGGATATCACCATGCCCGGACTCCTCAACCTTGAACACCTCAATAGCATGAGACTTTTCCACCTTTCGTATCCTCCAGACTCCATCTCCCTGAATAACCTGCTTCAGCCCTGTAAGAAAATCAACATTAGCCCAAACCCAAACCTTCAACAAGCCCTGCTCCCAGTGCAGGTATATTTAGAGCAAGACCTTAGTTAATCAGAAGAAACTCACACTCCAAAAACGCCGCCGCAAAGTTAATACAAATATTCCCGTCCCAACTCCCTCGTCCCACCTTCTTCACCTTTCCAGGTATACCAGCTGTATCTAGTTCTTCCAGACGATGCACGATACCCTGTTGATCGCGGAATCCGACGATGATCTTCGGCACACCGAGTAAGAACGACTGCGCCCAGAATTTGAGCAGTTTCCGCTCGTATTTGAGCATGTCGCGATCATTGCGGATTTCCGCCGAGGTCTTGAGTTCGACCCAGTGGATTGAGTCTTCTTTGCGGTCTGGTTTGCAGTCCCATACTGGTCAGACACGGAGTTAGAGTTAGTGTGTCGTACTAAGAAGTAGTGGGAATGTTGATGGATGGCGAGAGGAGAGGAGGACAGGACTACGTACCGGCATCGACTTCCCCGCCAAGGACCATGCGGATACTTCCCATTCCGGTCTTGACGACGGAGCAGTACTGGGCGCTATTGTTCACGACCTCGTTTTGGCGGTTTTCGATTTCTTCGCGCGTGCACGGGTCCCATGGTTTTCGGAGGACGGATAGGACTTCGAATTTGTATCCTTTTAGAAGCGGGTGAGCAAGATATTCACCCTTTATCTATCTTGGAGGGTGGTTGTAAGGGGTTTCGAGTGCGTCTTACCCCAGTACATCATGAGATCTTGTGATGCCATTCCCGGGGGCATTCTTTGGTTTCGTTGGAGTTCTTTTTGGCGGTTTTTGTAGGAGTTATTTTCCTCGATGAATCTGGGTACGCCGTGTTAGTGTTTTTGCGGATGGAAGTAGTAAGATTTCCAGTACGCACATTGTGCCCTGGTCGAGATTAGCTCAGGTGTTTTGAATGCTCTTGTACTTATGAGTGGGGTCTTACCTGGTAACACGTTGCATTCATCTCAAAGCTGTGTAGACGAGAACATGTCAGCTAATCGGTATCAAATTCGTATTCGAGGGATGCCCACCCATTCATCATATCAAAGGGAGCAGTCAATATCTAGCGCCGCAATCAGTATATCTGTGTAGTCCCATAGCGATCATCAACATCCATGCACTCACCTTGGTCATCATCCCCCGCCACGTCACAACATCAGTCTCACATTTCCTCCCCGTCTCCTTCTCCATCGCTACAATAGTATCAAGCAACGCATCCAAATGCTCATCAGCCGCATCATTCAGTTTCTGAAAAGTATCGAACCCGATATTCAGATCTGCGGGTAGACTTGGCGGGTAGTAGTATGCGATGGATGCATCACCAAGGGAAAAGCGGCGATCCTGATCATAGGAGAAGCACGCGATTTCCTATACCCGGTTTGTTAGAATGGCTATGGTGCAAGGGGATGGTTTCGATGGTTTGTTCTTGGTCGGGGGACGGTTCTCACCTTGGGTCGCCGGATTGTAGTATTTGAACCGCCGAAGCGGTTCACGGGTTGGATGTCGAAGATTGCTTGATTCATGGCTTGGAGTGATTATGGAAGGAGGATGATCAATTGGGGTTGGATATCATCCGCGCAATGGCGCACTAGCTCTCGGTATAGAGCTCTGACTGATGATAAACTCTGCAATAAGACTGAGAAGGGTGGATGAAGTGAAAATCGGCAGTTCGTCTCAAAGGAGAGGTTGCGCTCGGTGATGCGCCAATATCAGAGTCCCTAGCTAAGGGCGGCCCTGGCTAGCTCTGAACCGTGGAGAAGCTGCGGTGTCCTCGCTTTCGCCTCAAGAGTTCGAACGCGATTTCGCTGCAGTAGCGCAACTCTTCCAATTCAGAGGAGAAAGGCTAATCTAAGCTACTGACGTCGAGCTTATTCGTCGAAGATGAAGTCAACCGGATCGAGCGCAAACAGCTCAAAGTAGCTTTAGTGCTTTCGGGGAAAAGGCCCGCGTGGATTGGCTCTCGTTCCCCACCAACTTTGTGTGCACGCCCCGCGGTCTCTCGTCAACCATCACCAACGAGCCTGAGCTTGAGCTTGGGTCCTGCTTTCATTCTTTGAATAGTACTCCCCTTTCCTATCTCCTCTGGCCATTCTTGTCCGGGGTATTCCCATCCGCTCGACAATGACTTCCCGCATCGACAAGACCATCGCCCGCCAGCGAGAAAAGTACGTCTTCATCCGATTCACCCGCCAACCTTCCCTGTAACAGACCCAACAATCAACTCGATACTGACATTCTCTTTCTTTACTCTCGTGACAGGATCGCGGCGGGAGCTTACTACGAGGCACACCAGCAACTACGTGTCATTGCGGCGCGCTACATCAAGCAGTCCAACTACGATGCCGCTGCGGAGTTACTGGCAGGCGGGGCGACGGCTCTGTTGAGGGCTGGTTCTCAGCAGGGTGCGTCGGCGAGTGGTGGTGATTTGGCGATTATGTTGGTTGTGGAAGTTTACAACAAGGCTGAGTGGGAAATTCAGGGTGGTGATAATGATACAGAGGGTCGGGCGCGGAAGAGTGAGTTGCTTTCAGCCTGTTGTTTTGAATCATTGCTAATGATGCCCGTGTCTCCGATAGAGCGTCTCATCGAGCTTCTGCGTGAGTTCCCGTCGGAAGAACCTACGAGAAAGCGTTATATTCAGGAGATCATTGGGTGGAGTGGACGGCATGGGCCTCTGGAACGTGGAGATGCCGAGCTACACCATGCTGTTGGCTCGGTTTACGCAGAAGGTTAGTAGGACCAGTGACGGCTATTTGGATATATGTATACATGGATGTCGCTATTAATGGGGATTCTAACTCGGTACTCTTACAGATAACGAGCCTTACGATGCCGAGAGACACCTCGTACTCGGAACCTCCGAATCTGCAGAGACTCTGGCCAAACTCGAGTACGAGTGGTACACGCATGATGAACCACACACGGCCGCCCTATACGCATCCCGCGCCGTCTTCCCCTACCTCGTGACCGGTAACATCCGGAGCGCAAACAAGGCCCTCCTCATCTTCACCTCTCGTCTTTCAACCGCGAACCCTTCCCTCGCCGTGCAGGACGTCAGCAGCTCCAGCTCTGATATGCGCCTCTACCCCGCGCTCCCGCTGCTCAACTTCCTCAGCCTGCTGATGCTCACTATCCAGCGGGCTAGCGCGGACCTCTTCAAGCAGCTGACGGCCAAGTATGCGGTAGAGATCCGGGAGGTGGGTATTTGGGATGATTTCCTGGCGCAGATTGGCGAGCAGTACTTTAGTATCAAGATCCCTCGGCAAGGGAACCCGTTGTTGGATATGATGGGTAGTATGCTCTTCGGCGGTGGTCAGGGTCAGGGCCAGGCTGGTGGGAGATCCACGAAGAAGGTCGAGGCGCCTCCTTCGAGCATGGAGCTTGACTAGACGGGCGTTTAAGGAGGAGGCTTGAATAGAAGCCTCAAGCTTTGCCTGGTAGTGGACATACCCAATTGATGGTGTAATGCCTTGAACAGCGGTATAACATCGAGTAAATGAAACGGCCTAGAACCGCGTATCTCTCTCCGGCTCGAACATCCAATTATCGTCGTCTATAGAGGCGACCTTCTTCCGTAGACTCTGGTGGACAATATTCAAGACCTCTGCCCATCACCATCAACAACATCAGTAAACCCGCAACAAACCAAACTTCTTCTCAGGCAAAAAGAAAACAGCCAACTCACCATCCGGCTCCCCACTCGACTGCCGATTCCGATGCCGAATAACCATCTCAACCAGCGCAGCTTCAAATTCTACCTCCCCCCAAAATAACAACCATCAGCAAAACTCCCGTACAAGAGTCACCATCACCTTCACCACAGATATATTTCAAACATACTCTCTTTATCCCTCCCACTCAACTCCGCCTCCAACGCAGACTCCCCCGCGTCATCCCCCCTCAGCCTCAAGTTCCCCCAACTCCTCCCCGTCCTCCCCAATCAACGCATTCGGCAACGCGGGTACATCCAACTTGTACCCGCCATTCTTATCGCGCACCACGATCTCCCTGGTCTCCGAGATCTTGATCGCGCGCGATGTCTCTGAGGATGTGGGTTTGAGGCGGTGCTGGGAGGGACGGGTTGAGAGGGCGTTGGTGGTGTTGGTGGTACTTGGTGCTATGCCTATGCCTATGTTTGTGTTAGGACCTGGGCCTGGGCCTGGGCCTGGGATTGTGCTGGCCGTGGGTTGGGGGCCTGTTTGGGGGCCTGTTGAGGCGGGGCGGCGGCTGAGGGTTTGGTGGAAGAGGGTGCGGCGGACGGAGGTTTGGGACATGCTTGGCATGTTTATGATGCGGTGGATTGAAGGTGTGTAAGTATAAGGAACTGTGTGTGGTGGTTTGGTAGTGTTGTACTGGACAATTGCGGAGTGGAGCTTGTGTTTCGGCGTAGAAGCGCGTACGGTTGTAAAGTGAGTGGACCGACTTGACAAGCCACGTCGAGTCTTGGGAAATTATTTGAGGGTGAAGAGGGATCGGGAGTGTTGACTGGACACTGTGTGGGTGGTAAGGATAGAACTGGTAGGTTGTGGGTCGTGGTGGTGGTGAGGGTTGATATTATTGAGGGGGTGGAATTGGTAGTTCTGTTGCCGCGAACGGCGGAAGACGATGCCCAGCGACGCGCTAAAAGGGGAACTGGCTGTTGGGCTATGAGACCAGAAGACAATATCAATGTCTTTCTTTGACGAGAATTTGAGCTTAGTTTTCTCTCCTATATAGATATTTTCTATCAGATTTTAGGTCTTTTATTATACTACTTACACTGTCGGGCGTTCTCTTAGTGTACTATATCATGAACTTGTCCAAATCTTGGCCGTTTGACTTGAAGCTCTGAGAGGAAGCTCTGGTATAAAGTGCTCTCAAGATCAGACTGACTGAGACAAATAGCCCAAAATAAAACCTTTATCACTGAAAAATTCACTTTCGAATTGTTCCTTACCACAAGCCCAAGAGCAACTACTGCCTTTGTACTGTCCAACTTATCAAAGCTCTTATCGCTTATCGCTTATCGCGAAACGCGTCCACTTTCGCGTCTCTCCACCACCGCTTTCTTCCCCCACGACCATCATCCCAACCACCTCCACCATGGTGCAAGCTGAATCCTCCAAAACTGCCGAGCGCAATGCTCTCCGGGCTGTCACGGCAGGTGCCCCTGCAGACTATGAGCTGCCCTGGTCAGTGCCATTCCTCATATACATTGCAAGAACCTCCACCTGACTTTTTACTCTCCACTCGTGGATGCAGGGTTGAAAAGTACCGTCCGATCTTCCTCGATGATATCGTCGGTAACACAGAGACGGTGGAACGACTGAAGATTATTGCCAAGGATGGCAATATGCCTCACGTTATTATCTCTGGCATGCCGGGTATTGGAAAGACGACCTCTATTTTGTGTCTGGCGAGGCAATTACTGGGTGATGCCTATAAGGAGGCTGTTTTGGAGTTGAATGCTAGTGATGAGCGAGGTGAGATTGATTGATATAGTTGGAAAAGCGTGGGGATCTTGGGCGATGCTGATAGTTGTCTTCGGTGCCGTTCAGGTATCGACGTGGTTCGTAACCGAATCAAGGGTTTCGCCCAGAAAAAAGTCACCTTGCCTCCGGGCAAGCACAAGCTTGTCATTCTGGATGAAGCCGATAGGTAAGACAGCAAAACGATCCCATGGTTCCGAGGTTTTGTTAACATTGACTCTCCCAGTATGACGCCCGGTGCCCAGCAAGCCCTCCGACGTACAATGGAAATCTACTCAACAACGACCCGTTTTGCCTTTGCCTGCAATCAATCGAACAAGATTATTGAACCCCTGCAATCCCGTTGTGCGATCCTCCGTTACTCCCGCTTGACGGATGCCCAGGTCGTCAAGCGCGTGATGCAGATTTGCGAGGCGGAAAAGGTCCAACACTCCGAGGATGGCATTGCGGCTCTGGTCTTCAGTGCTGAGGGTGATATGCGTCAGGCTATCAATAATCTCCAGAGTACCTGGTCAGGCTTTGGCTTTGTGAGTGGTGACAATGTCTTCCGTGTCGTGGATAGTCCACACCCGGTCAAGGTGCAGGCTATGATCAAGGCTTGCTGGGAGGGGAAGGTGGATGCGGCGTTGGAAATTTTGAATGAACTCTGGTAAGATATTCCTCCCGTGTCAGGAGACTGGGATGTGCCTGTAAGAGACATTGCTAATTCGGGGCCCTACAGGACGCTGGGATATTCCTCCCACGATATCATTAGCACCATGTTCCGGGTGACCAAGACTATTCCCACTCTCTCGGAGCATTCCAAGTTGGAATTTATCAAGGAGATTGGTTTCACGCACATGCGTATCTTGGATGGTGTTCAGTCACTGCTGCAACTGAGTGGATGCATCTCGAAACTCTGCAAGATTAACATGAAGCCGGAGCTGTTCCAGCCTCCCAAGGCTTGAAGACAGCAACTTGATATTCCACCGCATATTCCCCTGGCGTTGAGGGCGTCTTATTTAAAACTCCAATGATGAATGATATTTTCTCTTCCTCTTCTCGTCCATACCAACTCACTCCACAGTCTATTCTCCATTCCCACCATTCTTCCCTCCCACATACTCCATCCAAATTCGTTCAATAACACTCGCCGCCCCCAACACCTTCTCCTCCTCAAGCTTCTTCCCAATAATCTGCAAGTTCACAGGATACCCATCCACCGCATCACCATCATACAACTTCCAATTCCACCCATCCAACTCATTCCTCGGCACATACCCCTCCTCCATCCCACTAACCCCATCCATTTCCCTCCGCACCCGATCCACCGGAAACGTCAAGGCAGTATAATCCAAAAAATTCCAAATCTTCGTATACCCAACCCACCTAAACGTGCGGTGCGGGATGCCCGTATGCGGCATGGCCGGCGCCAACAGTACATCCACAGTCCTTCCCGACGGCGCTAGCGTCGTCCTCCACTTATCAAGGTACTTCTTCTGCGCCGCATGTTTCCGCCTATTTAGTTGCCAGTACTCGTAGACGGAAATCGGGGTTCCGCGGTTCACTAGTGCTTGAACGTGTGGGAGATATGGTTCTCCGGCAACGTCCATGTCACGGCGGATATCCTCGCCGCCGTCGACTGTGTAGTAAGTGTCCATGATCTCGATGCACCCTGCGTGGTCGGTCGTATCCCAGGACACGAGTTCGTGGCCTGCTGCGGTCAAGGCGGTGGAGAGTTCGTGGAGGGCGCGGGTTATGGGTGGGTGTGGAGTGACGATGCCGTCTGTTAGGATTAGGCCGATTACGAGGGAGGGATTGGATTGCGTGGATTTGTAGATGGGTTCGTTCCAGGGTAGGGGTGTGCAGCGCGGATCCAGGCTCCAAGGCTGACTGGTTGTGATTTGTTTGGTGATGTACGTTAGCGAGGAGAGGTCGCGGGTCATGGGGCCGATGGAGGAAGGGACGTGTTCTTGGCCTTGGGTTGAGACGGGGACGCCTTCGTAGGGGAAGCGGCTGCTCTGTATTAGGGATTAAGTTAGCAGTCTTGCTTCTTGACTTTATACCAAGTGTGTAGGAGATGGCTTCGTTGGAGCGTGAACTTACGCTCGGTTTCAGGCCGTATAGACCGGCAAAACTCTGTGGGATCCGTATACTTCCTCCTATATCTGTGCCAAAGCCGAGGATTGATCCGTGCAGTGCTAGTAATGGCCCTTCACCTCCCGTTGAACCTCCTGGTGTGAAGGCAGGGTTTCTGGGGTTGGTGGTCAATCCCCAGAGAGGATTCTCCGTCTCTCCCCACTGCATCGAGTTAGAAGAATCAAGAATGAATCCATATCATTTATGGACATGTAGTACAGGAGTAGATGCATACACACCATAATACTTTGACACAGATTCGTCTTGGCAATGACAATCGCCCCCATATCCTTTAGTATCTGAACTAGTACTGCGTCTTCGCTGGCGGGTTGAAAGGATCGTCCAACGTAGCCTAGAGTCGAGTCCACGCCCTTGACGTTGAATTGATCTTTCAGTGTGATGGGAATGCCATGTAGAGGGCCCTTGAGCTTGCCGGTGCTGGTAAATTCGGCATCTAGCTTTTTGGCTTGTTGTAGGGCTTCGTCGAATAGGACTTCCGTCAGACAATTGGTCTGGGTTTTAGGGTTAGCTGGTGGTTTTCGTAGAGAATGAGAGGGCCTTACCAGTTGATGTGCTACCACGGCGCTAGAAGAACCAATTTAAATGATGTTAGCAATGGTTTCATGATCGCCCTTCTACTCTGCTGCAAGATCATGTCTCACCGTTTGATATACGATAGGATAACTTGGTGCGCTGTAAACTGGCCCGTCTCCAATCGCTTCAACAAGCCGGTAAGGTCGAGGTCAGTGATTTCTTGAACTTCAGGCTCATTTTCCAGGCGAGAACGGCAATCCACATGGTCCATCCGTGGAACTCGATGTTCGATATCGACCAAGTACGGAGCCAGCAGCTTGTCCCTGATGGCACGTTTTTTGGAGACGATCTGCTCCCATGGTTGTTGGATGGTGCCCATAGTGCTGGATATGCTGGATATCTGAAATGTAGTCTTTTCAATCTTGGTGCTTTGGTTATTTTCTGTTTCTTTGCAGGGTTGAGGGTTCAAGAGCTCGTTATATACGCGATGGGCACGGCTCGGAAAGGGGTGCCGTTATCACTGGTTTACTCCAATACTCCATCTTTATATCGGACTGCTCCAATCTTTCGTTCTCTTGGCCGAAAGTGGGGGAAGGTCGTTTAATTCTGCAGAGTTGGAGTAGTTTACTCTGGACGTGGTCTTACAGGACTAGACTAGTGCAGAATAAGTTAATACTCTCTCCAACGGAGTTATGTCGACTTCTTCAGCCATGCTAGAATAGCTTCTCCCAAGGATCTAGTCTATCTGCTACAGAAATATTATCTAACGTACATTCGAGCTAGACTACTTCTACCGAAAGCTCTCACATGCCATCTCACCCAATTGTGGGCCATAAGTTGAAACAACGCTTCCATCCTCCATTTGCGGACTTGAAGCGGGGAATGTGTGGATCCTCTCAACATCCTCCACCCAGCCACAGCAACCACCCACCAACGCGAAGACCCCCATTCTCTCCCCCTCAAAAGAACGAGTCCAAGCCCAAGCATCTGAGATTGTGATCTACCCAGCTTGATGGAGTGGAGGCGCCATGGATTCCACGAGCTCAGGGTCGCCGACGGCCAGTCCGCCCGGCGCCGTCCGCACACGCAACAAGTCCTCCGGCTCCATCGCAAAGCGAGCTTGCGACCAATGCAAGTTCCGCAAGATCAAGGTATGTGACATGCGAATTTGTACCGCGAAATCCCGGCGACGGCCCCCTCATCCGATCCCTTCGCGTCCAGCCTGGCGCGCTAAGGGAAATTGAGCAGCACTAATAGTTTCCTATAGTGTAGCCTATCGCAGCCCTGCAGGGCCTGTCAATCGATGGGCTTTGACTGCACATTCCTTCAGCCGCAGAAGAAGCGCGGGCCAACCGGACAGTAAGTTACAACGTCAGAATATCGCGCATCGCGCAACCCGCCAGTATAGTGCGCTGACTGGAAGCTCTCCTATAGTCGTGTCTCGCAAATTCGCCAGCAACAAACGCATATCATCTCTCGTACTCCGCAAGAAACCCCCATCCCTAAGCAAGAGCCCTTTCGGTATCATGGCCCAACGTCCGGCGTGGAACAGGGTCAGTCCGTCTCGATGCCCGGAGCATCATGGACATCCGCGCAAGGCCAGGTCACCATGTCGATGGAGGGAACAACCGGTCTTGCACCAGCCGGGCCGGCACCGGCTGTTGTAGACGCCTGGGCGGCGGAGACGGCATCTCTCGACTCACAAGGGACCACCGTGGGCTGGAATGACCGTCCGGATGTGGAATATTGGCTACCAGATCATTTGGGCGCGCAGGTCCCCGTCTTTGAATTCCCCGGCAGCAACATCTACCTCAAACCTTCTCTTCCATCCATCATCCAGCCCGTGCCCGATGTAACGACTATCAGCCTCCCACCGGCCGAACCCCAGGGGATGCCATATTCCCCGGCCGTGGGATCAGCCGTGGGGTCAATACAGTCCTCAGAGAGCCAGGAATCTGAAGGATTTTGGCCTAATTCGATCGACGAGGCGAATATGATTCCCTGGCTGGACGTCTACTTCGACCGTCTTCATCCGACTGTACCCGTGTTGAGTCGCTCGTCGTTGTACACGCGGATGATGTGTCAGGAACATCGCAAGAATACCCAATTCGGGGCGATGCTGCTTTCTTTATGTGCATTCTCTCTAACGCAACCCATCGAGATAAATGAGCGCGCTACTACCTCTTCACGCGCCACCCAGGCCCGGTTGATGATGCACGAAGCTACCAAGATGCGGAGTTGCTGTGATTTCGGTGAAAATCCGACGATCGAGGCTGTTTTGACGAGTTTCTTCCTTTTCGGCTGCTTGTTTGGAAGTAATCAACATAATGCTGCCTGGCTGCGGCTGCGAGAAGCTCTAGATCTTGCGTCTACTTTGGGACTCAATGATCCAGAGTCATATCGGGATTTACCCGGTGATGAGAAGGGTCAGCGATTACGGACGTATCTAGTCCTGTCAATCACGGAAAGGTATGACCCGATAACAGCAAACCCGTAAAAGAGAAACCATGGATCGTATGCTAATCCTCTATAGAGCATATGCATTGCAACGCCTACACCCCGTCACATTCTCCGGCAAGCCCGGATTCAGCATGCGCTCCGTCCATGACTTCCTCCACAACGCCACAAACAGCCTCGTCTCAGGAATCATCGTACACAACGAAAAAGACGCCGAAGGCATGATGGGCCTAGTCCGACTAATGGAACTCTTCGACGCCATCGACGAAGACTTCATCTACTGCTGGAACAGACGCTGCGACCTCCGCAACGGGTACTGCGAACGCTTCACCGAAGCCAAAGCCCTATCCATGTACGATAGCCTTCAGCAAGTCAGCCAAGCGGAGCGGTACAAGGGGTATGACTGGTTTGAAAAAGCCAAGGTTGACGGTAATGATAATAATGCGCTTCTTGCTATGGGACTACGAGAGACTCAGGCTGCGGATGTGTTTATCACGCAGAAATGGGTACAGAATCGGGTTTGGCTTTTGTGTTTGAATCACGGGCTTTTGAGGACGCAGTCTGATCGGCCGGAGTTGACGTTTGGGTTTGCGGTTAACATTGCTGAATCGACTATTCAATTGTGTCGGTCGTTGAGGTTGAGTTCGATGGAAGCCCATGGGATTGGATTTGTATGTGTCCCGCACAACCCTACACATATCCCCAGACCAGTTCCCACCGCTATCCTTTTCATTCCCGCGTGGTTGGTCTCCTACTAACAAATTCCAAGACCGAAAAACTATACGACATTGCCGTCAGCGCCACAGATATTCTCTGCAATATTAACCCCCCCTTCGGCACGGGGATAACCCCGCTAGGCAACTTTTCCGAAACACTACCTACAACATCCACGCCGCAGGCAATGGCCGAAGACTTTTTGTTACTGCTGAGCAGTTTCCGGGGTGGGAATCATCCATTTGTGGAGAAGTATCGGGCTCATTTGCGGGCTTTGCAGATTCCGGGTAGTTGGAGTCAGGCTCAGGGTCCGTGATGGATGGAATGATGGATGATTTGATCCTTGAGCTGGAGATTGAGATCTTGTGGTATCTGTTTTGACAACTTTTGTGATTTTACTCGACACACTTGTTTGTGTAGGATGTGTTCTTTCTTTTCTTCGTCCTCGGGGTTCAGGCGTGTTGTATCAATAGATGGGGGTGGGATGGGCAATTCCTCTGTATCTGTATATTTATGAAATAGGCTTTCCTCGCCTTGTATTGAGACTGTCATTTCTATTCCTTCTCTATGCATCTTTGATAGTTGTAAATATATGGTATCTCCTGGCGTAAGCTATCCACCAACATCAACCTATCACTGGTCCATCACCAAGTCCATCCCAAACCTCAGCCCGAACAAGCAAAGCAGCTCCCTCCTCACAACCTCCAACACAACTCTTCTTCGTCTCAGTCACTCTCTCTGTATCTATTTCCTCCGCGAAAAACCGCACCCCGAAACACCGTTCTAACGGGTAATACACACGTGTTGAGATAACAGTCCGTCCATTCACGAATACTTCCAGCACGGACTTGTCGAAGAATGCGTGGATTTGGAGTGTTTCTTCGATTTCGATGCCTGATTCATTGAGGAATGTGAAGAGAGTGTGTGGTGCGGATTCGTAGCCGTGGTTTATTGTAGTTTCTGTTGGTGATTGGGGACGGTGGATTGTGAATGTTTCTGTGGTTGGTGTGTAGCAGAGGGTTGTTGTTTGGTTGAAATCTAGGGTTGGTGTTAGCAGGAGAATATGATTATCGTGATGTGCAGATGGGATGATGATGAATTCTGGTATAGGATGCGATTGATGGCTTACTGGGGGTGTGTGCGATTTGAATACCGACTCGTTCGCATGATGGTCTGACTGAGAAGTCGGCCTCGAGTTCCCAGCGGGATGTATTCAAAGACAGAGTCTCATTGGAGCTATTCCGTAGAGCAATAGGTAAATGTGACGATGGGAATTGTCTCCTTTCAGCTCCATCTCGAAGAATTGAAAGTCGAGGATCAGGCTTAATTCCCATCGTATGAATCGTGTACGTCCGTGGTTCGGATGTATTCGCAATAGCCTCGATGGAAGTAATAGTGTTCAGCTGCGAGCTACGCGCTGTCGTAACATGTCTCAACGTCATCAGCTCTACCACCCTCGGAATCGAAATCATCCCACTCCATCCCTGGCGATGACGAGGTCCGTCTGGTAGATCCTCCTCCGTGATCCAGCCATACACGATGCGCTGGGACGTAAGAGGGTCCCAGAAGGAATTGGCGGCGTATAAGCATCCGTGGTCAAAGTATCCACCGAATGCATAATCGGCGAGGATATCATCGTCGTTTCCATTAGGTGTCTTTCGTGTCTTCACGCACATCCACAGCTGAGACCGGGCTTGTCGTTTATAATGTGCTGAACCGGGTGTTCTCCAGAGCGAGTCTTCGGTGCGGAGACATCCTTCTGCGCCCATGATTGCGAAATCTCGAGAGTCGCCCGTGTCATTGGATAGAGTCATTAGATTGCCGACTTCCCAGTTCACGCCAAAGTCTCCGGACCAGCGTGATGGGTGGAAGTTTAGACCGACGTCGACGAGGAGGCCAGTGTATTTCCATGATCGGAGATCCGTTGAAATGACGGTATACACAAATATAGCGGGTGTTTTACCGACGATACCACCAGATACAATGCCGTGAAATGGGTGGTGGTGATTCCCACAGCTAGTCTGCTGCTCTTCCGGCCAGGTCGTAAGATGGGGATCTCTCCAGCCTGTCACTGATAGGTGTTCTGGAGGCCCCGTGAGCACTGGATTACAATTCAGACGCTCCCATGTCTGTCCACCATTCTTAGAAACAGCCAAACTGAGAGACTCGCAGCCTGCGATATACGGCAGTGTATAATGGAGTGGCAGATGTCGGACAGACGTGTACATAGCCGTCAATGAGCCGGGATTCCCATGGATATCTGTAGCCTGCAAACAGCCTGTAAAAATACCGCAGCGATCATACTCCGTCGACGGGGTTAGGGCCGGCGTAGGCGATACTTTCCACGAAACCAGGTTGGTAGAAGTAGCATGGCCCCAGGACATGTTGCCCCAATCATTGCCGTGAGGGTTCCATTGGAAGAAGATGTGGTAGAGACTCGTAGCGGGATCATAGCCTAATCCACAGGGATCGTTCATCCAGCCATTGGGGGCGGTTAAATGGAAAGCTGGTTTAGAAGTGGCCAGCTTTGGAGGGGAATCATCTTTGGCGTCTTGCGATGTAGTTTCGAGGTGTTTCTCTCGAAGCTCAGGCCCCGAGGGATCCGGTGAACTAAGTAGAACAGACATGGTCCGGTTGGTGGGAGTTTAGGTCAAAGAACTGTAGACCAGAGGCATCGATGAGGTTGATCAATTGTGGAATTGGGTATTATCCCTTAATATGTCGATTGGAAGTGTAGCGAGACTGCGTTGCTGGGAGAGACTCGCTGGTTGTCGTAATATCGGACGGACAAATCTGTCGAGGGCTCTTCACCCCATTCACCTCACTGACAGGGATGCCAGATCAGATATAAACCCCACCAGGCCCCTAAAACTCGTACAGACTTTGCGGAGGTTTCCCCGATCAAAACCGGTACAGCGTCGGCCATCACTGCGGAGGATCGTCGGCGAAACTCCACTACGCAGCGACGTAATCAAAGAGCGGCCCCAGACACGATCGATGGTGGATTCGACTTCTGCAATTCTCCTGTTTCATCTGCATAGCCCCAATCAGGAGACTTTCATCATGCAAGAAGCCATCTGTCCCTCTCTGTGCTTCAAAAATGGCAACGTGTGCTCGGCTGGGAAACCTCGGAGAAACCGAACCTGACTAACAGCCCTTGACGGAGTTAAGTTAACTTGCGAAACGAAAAGTCTGGGGAAAGGAAGTGGCCCCATCGATTCATCGCCCAGCTTCTCCATGGGGAAATCCACAAAATCCACCTGCGCTCCTGAGATCATGAAATATCCAAGGAGGCCTTCGGCTGAGCTGAACTGAGCTCGAGGAGCATCTCAATCCTCACTATGAAGATGCAGCCGGAGTCTCGTCTGCACTTTTTCACTTTGGCCCCGGTGACTCTGCTGTCGCATTGGACGGGATCGCTTCGGACGATGATGGCCATGTCTGACAAGGATGAACATGGCTCTGCGGAAGTCGAGCATGTTGACCGTTCGACTCGGGAGAAGGGCGCTGTGAATGCGCGTCTGGTCTTTGCTTGTATCGTATTTGGCGCAGCGTCGTTTATGTTTGGATATGACGATAAACTTATTTCGCCTGTGGCAGCTTTGTCCGGCTTTGTGAGTGACTGGCCTGTCTTTGCCAAGTACGAGCTCATTTCGAATGAGATGTCTGGACTGACACGATGATATCTCAATAGGTGGAAAGGTTCCAGGGACCAAACCCGGCGACAGGCAAGCTGGTTCTCACAGCGCGCAATCAAAATTTGGTCTTTTCGTTGCCCCTAGTGGGTGCTGTCCTTGGAGGACTGCTGGCATCACCATTGAATTTTCATTTTGGTCGCAAGTGGCCTCTTATCGCAGCGTATCTTCTCTCCATTGGCGGCGGTCTGCTCCAAGTGTTTGCGCCTAACTTGGGGGCTTTCGTTGGTGGTCGGTCTATTAATGGGGTTTCAATGGGAATTGCAATGGCAACGGCTCCTCTTTATCTATCAGAGGTGAGTTATATGCATATTCATACACAGATACACTAGACCTGGCAACATGCTAACACATATATCCAGGTCGTCCCTGCTTCTATGCGAGGCAGATCCGTCAGCTCCCTCAACATCCTGAACCTGACAGCTGGGGTAGTCAGCACTGTCATCGTATGGGGTACTGAAAAACTCGGAGGTCATTTATCATACCAAATTCCTCTCGCAATCCAATCAGCCGTACCCATCATCTTGATTTGTCTCACGATCCCCCAGCCAGAAAGCCCCGAATGGCTCGTGGCAAAAGGCAACCTCGCCCAAGCCCGACAAAACCTTCGCAAACTCCGCGGCTTCAGCGACGCGCACGTCAACGACGAACTCCGGTTAGTGGAGCTATGCGAGAAACAAAACCGCGAGATGCGAGCAGAAGTCAAATTCTGGCACATTTTCAAACGACAACATCTCCGGCGGACCCTCGTCGGCGGCTCCTTCTTTTCTCTTAATCAAATTTCCGGTGTTATTTTGTCGACGACGTATACGACGGTATTTCTTACGGAATTAGGCATCGGGAATGCTTTCACCTTGACTATCATCGCTTCATGCTGTACTTTGGCGGGTACAATCGCCGCACCACTCGTCATCGACCGCGCCGGTCGTCGACCAACAGCCTTTGTCGGAATGGCTATCCTATTCATTATCGACCTGGTGGCCGGCGTACTCGCTTTTTACCATAGAAACACCCAAGCCACCCTCGCCATCGCCGCGCTATCCTTCATATTCAATTTCTTTTGGGCCTCCTCCTTCTACTCCCTCTCCACCCTAATGCCCTCCGAAATGGCGACCCCCAAACTGCGCCACCACACCATGTCATACACCATCGCCTGTCAAGAGGTGACAGCCGTGATTACCACACTGGTAGTTCCGCAATTAACATCTGCAGATGCGGCGGGTCTGGGTGCAAAGACGTATCTTGTTTTTGCGGGGTGCATGGCTGTGATTATTGTCTTTGTGTACTTTTTTATGCCGGAGACGAGGGGGCGGACGTTTGCGGAGATTGATGAGATGTATGCGGCGAAGGTGCCGGCTTGGAAGTGGAGGTCTTATCGGACTTCGATCAAGGCGAGGACTGGGGAGGGAGCGGTCGAGACTACAGAGCAGAAGACATGATCTGTGTAGCGTAAGATAATGGTTGGATATTGGTTGAATGGTATATATGGAGACATTGTAGATCTTTACTACATGATCTATCGTCCCTACTCAGTTCCTAACTCTGTACTGTATCTCTTAAGCACAACGCAAGACTCAATTCCGTCCTTGTAGCTTTCTCCGCTCAATAGCTTCGTCCGTCTCATACCCAGCATCCGCCAAAGACCAAAGCATATCCCCCACCTGACACATACTATCATCCTCTAACAAATCCACACTCCTAGCACTAGCAATCATCCTACGAGCACCAATCACAATCCTTAAACGAAGTGATCCAGCGTCGAACGCCTCCATAAGAGCATCTACCTCCAAATCATGCCGTGCATTCCTCCCCCTCTGGTAATCTGAATACACAGATCTTCAAGCTAAGTCGTTTCAGGCTGGAGAATTTCTCCAAAGACCTGCTGTATTGTATGATAGCATTAAAGAATCCAGGCCGTTGATGTCCGTCTAGCATAACCAGTCACGCACAGAATTCACATCCTGGCTCCGTGTACCGTGGACATGTAGCTGACTTCCATTCCCCGGTGCATGTATCAAGTGATTCCCTTCATCGCCAACTCCATCCTCAAATTGAGTGTATATCATCCGTTAACAAGCAAATCCATAATCAATATCCAACTCCTCGAGCATGGATTTATGTTTGCATAATACCTTCATCAGCGGAAAAATGTAGAACCCGTAATCCAAATCCACATGACACGCTCGCCCTCCAACAGTATACTTGAATTCCTTAACGATAGTTGCAGAGTGCAAAATCCGATAGAGAAAACTTGTATTAAATGCTGAGTGGTGAATGGAGAATCTGCTGATATTTGAGATTGTCATTTCGTGTAGCGAACGAGTTCCGTCCATTTCGTAGAGAAGGTCGATGCTGATTGATTCCATGGATGGGAGGGTGTCGAATAGATTGATGCAGTGGGTAAAGTCTAGCTCTTGGTAATAAGTGTGTGAGTCGCTGGGGCGAGTTGCGTTGATGATGTAGATATTTTGGAGTGATTGAAGATGGATTTGCTGGTTATTTTGGAGGAATGATTGTAGTGGTAGTGGTGTAATGTTTGGATTTGGTTTATGCACTGATGTTGCAAAGCGTCGAGAGTAGAATGGGAGCACAAGTGTTAGTTTGCGAAGGCGAGGGGAGACTGTGATTAGGAGAGTGGTGAGGGCTTGGATGATGAATGACTCGTTTGTTTGTCTCTCGACTTGTTTCTTCTGTCAGATAGATTAAGCTATCAATGGAGAGGTAAGGAATGAAATCTTACCCATCACCCTCGTCTTCGTCCTGGTCTTCAACGTCAAGATCATCAATATCAAGATCAGATTCCTCATTCCGTTGCAGAAGCATATTAACCAAACGATCCTCGGAGATTCCAACTCCCGAAATACGAACAGCCTTTGGTAACAGTGCCATATCGGCATCATCAACCTCACCTGAGCCTCTCGCATCTCATACTTGAACTCGCTATACAGCACACGATGATGACACTCGATATGGCGAACGTATAGACCCAGACTAGGATTTCTCAGGATTTCCAAGAGTAGTTCAAATGCTGGATCTGTACTTCTTGCACCGGCCGAAATCCTGATATAATGGAATTTTTTGCGGGCTGCCATGTCACATACTGTGGAGAGGGCTCTACATTGGAGTGAGAGGGCGGCTACATCTTTGTTTGAGAGGAGATATGAGAGGATACGCTGGTGGAGTTCGGGTGGTAGGTCAGGAAGAGACATTGTCATTGTGTGTGTATAGAGGAGATGACACTCATTCAGCAGGTAATAATCTCACGTAGATAGACCAGCTGGAACCTAGCTGCTGTAATTGGAGTCGTCTGAGTGAGCATCACATGATAGAGATTAATATGCAGATTGAGGGATCTATTTTCAGATCTAAGTAGACCAGGTTAGCTATCAACTATGTTAGATAATTCCATGACTTACGGTCTGTGCTGTGAACTGTTGTCAGCATCGCATATCCGGAACTCCCTCTGTAAAAGGGGTATAAAGCATTAAGAAACATGTCAAACACCTCTATTTCATAATCATTAATAAAGCTTCAAGTCCAACATCCAGGATGCAATTACAATTATCAAATCTATATAAATCACTCACAAGATCATCAAGTGCAAGTGCGTAAGCTAATAAGACAGCAGTCGAAAAAAAAGAAGAAAATGCCCAGGCCCAAAGCCACCGTCATCACTTCGTACGCCCAATCACAGGCTAACAAGAAAACAAAGTAAATGAGGCCAATGTCAATCCAATCGCGTACAATGAGCGAGAACACGAAAGACGTATGTAGTAGGCGCAATCGCGTGGTGCACCACAAACTCACACCCGGGTTGTATATGCATGGGTATCAAATCATAAAAACAGACCAGTGATGCGGGGGATATACCACCAAGGTAAAATAAATTCAGACTCGATTCATCACCTTCTACCGCGAGCGCCATTTCCAGAATTTCCAGCCCGAGATACCCGTGGACCCATCTCGCTGGTAGATACGCCAGTAGTATACCGGAATACCAGTGATGATAAAGCCCACAACGATCAGAGTCTGGAGGGGCTCTGCGATAACGGCGCGGCTGAGGAGGAACAAACTCACGCAGCAGAAGATAATTGGCGTGGTGATCCATGTGCGATATGGGCGTTCGAGGTGTGGCTCGCGAATGCGTAGGACAATTAGGCCTAGCACGGTGATGAAGTAGAATGTGTAGCCTGCGACGCCGTAGAATGTCACTAGGGTGCTGAACTCGCCGACGCCGATGTAGACCATGGTCAGGGCGGTGTTGAATGCCATAGCGTTGATGGGGGTGAAGCCGAGGCGAGATTCGTCGCCAAAGACTCGTGACAAGGATCGGCTTGCCCATGATCGTCGGCGAAGACGGCTTGCGGCTGGGGGAGCTGGAGAAGAGGAATTGCCTAGGCCGATGCGGCCGAAGAGTGAGGGAGGTAGCCTTCTTTGGCAGCGGCGTAGACGAGACGGCCGCTGGTGAAGGTGGTTGCATTCAAAGCACCGAAGCAGCTGGCTCCCACGACGAGGGCGAGAATCAGAGCGCCGACGGGGCCGAATACTTTGCCGCCGAATTGGACGGCAATGGTGTTGCTTGCTTCGATGGTTTCGTGGGGGAGGACCAGGAAGTAGGAGACGTTGGCCATGAGATAGCATAGAATGACCAACGGCATTGCTGTATGGATTACTCGTGGCAGATCCCGACTGGGATTCTTGAATTCGCCAGTGACATAGTTTGTCTGTGAAGGATTAGCACGAGCTGTTCAGAATATCTGAAAGGCATTCTCGACTCGTTGCTTACATTGTCCCATCCGTCAAAAGCCCATAGCCCTGCATACAGAGCCACGGCAAAGTCCGAGATCTCCGTATTCGTCCCCTCGAACCAGCCATGGGTCTTCCATTCCTGGTTGGCACTTCCCTTGGACGAAAGGCCAGTCACAGCGACCACGATACCGGTAATCGTAACACCAAGCAAGGCGACAAACTTGAAAAACATAAAGAGATCACCAATTCGAGTCGCAATCTTAGTAGAAATGCAGTTGAACAGAGTGACGGTCAGCAACCCGCCCAGCGCAACGCCCTTATTAATCCATGGATTGACATGTTCCACATCGGCACCCACAAATGCACGCACAATATACTCGCCAAAGATAATCGAGATAATCGCCGCGGACCCGGGTTTTAAGACCAGCACCGCGCACCACGTGAAGAGGAAGCCCGGCAGCTCGCCAAAGATCTTGGACAGATAAACCTGAGCACCTCCATTCAGAGGAAGGGCGCCTCCCAGCTCGGCATAGCTCGCAGCTCCAGTCCACGCCAACAGACCCGCCACAGCCCACACGATGAGCGCCGCACCGGGCGACCCTGCGTTCGCATTGACCTGACTAGGCGAAGAGAAAATGCCCGATCCAATAATCAACCCGACAATCAGAGACAGGCCATTCAAATATGTCAAGGTCTTATTCCGTTCCAACGAACCGTCCGCTCCTTGTCGATCCAGCGCCGACGATGTTCCGAGCGGAGCATATCCAGCTTGCGTTTGCGACAAAGGGAACAAGTTCCGGCCAAAATCAAAGGCGGACGAGACCGAGTAGGAGCGTAAAGGGCGTTGGCGGCCTGTTTCTAGGTAAAAGTCCCGTTCTTCGCCGGCGAGGGGATCCTCATCTTCGAGGGAGAGTTTGCGCGAGGAGGATATTCCATCGGGGGAGGAGGAGCGCGAGGACCCTGGGACAGAGACGGCCGAGGAGGACGCGAGCGAGGCGAGTTCTAGGGAGTCTCGGGGGGCGGCCAGGTTGCCATTCCGGGTGTCGTGGGTGAATGCGCTATTCGACATCCTCCTTTGTCTCTGGGTGGTCGGTGGTCGTGGTCGTCAGATCTGGAGAGGATCGCGGAAACACAGAGGAGCTTTCGTTCTCGGGAGGTGAATAGGATTCAGAGCAGCGCAAGGCGAAAGAGTGTTGGATTCAAGAGCAGCCGAGTGGACTCTCCATTTCCTTTGCGAAGCACCAGTAACAGAACCCGAGGCAACCCGGACAAAGGAGATAAAAAAGAGAAAGGGATGCTTGGTGGGTAGTCTTACCTCTGCCAAGGGGGTTCGAGTGCAGTTTAAGTCCAGTAGCTCACCCAATCGGCTTTCCGTCTGCGCCAAACCCAATTTCCCCGCGGTTCAACTTCTCGACCATGCCGCATGCCTTTCATAACACCTCTTCCTCTCAGGTCTCCCAATGAAACCCTCTATATCTATTCTGCACTGCCGGTGCAGCAGCTCCGGCTTACGGTCGACAGCCACTCGCTTTCCCCGATATGCCTCAACCTCCTCAACGACCTCAACATCTTCCTCCTCCTCGTCGTCACCACCATCCTCCACCACCACGACACCCTCCTCAACCTCCCCAAAAACCCGCTGGCTAGCCCTCACCCTGGTGAGCCTCGCCGCCGCCGGCGCAGGCGCCTACATCCGCTCCCAAACCCCAGACTCGGCAACCCTCAACAAAGAAACCTTCACAAAATACAGCCTCGTCTCACGAGACCCCGTCTCCGCAACAAGCAGCCTCTTCACCCTCCGGCCCCATTACCACAGCGACAGCAACTACGACGTCTACGAAGAAGCCTGGCGCACCGGCGTCTGGAGCGTGATGTTCAAGCAGCCCCAGCTCCAAATTGGCCGCGACTATACACCTCTGCCCACGACGGCGGCGACGGCGTTGACCGTTGACGAGGAGAATGAGGGATACTTGCGGTTCTTTATTCGGAAGGATCCGTTTGGTGAAGTGTCGCGGTATCTGCATAGTCTTGACGTGGGCGCGGATATTGAGCTGCGTGGGCCGCAGATTGAGTGTGAGATTCCCGTGGGGACGAAGGAGATTTTGTTTATTGCTGGTGGGACGGGGATTGCGCCAGCGCTGCAGGCGGGATATTCGCTGTTGAATCGGACGAGCGAGGGCGATCGGCCGAGGATTCATATTATTTGGGCTAGTCGGCTGAGGGCGGATTGTGTGGGTGGTGTGAGTGATACGGTCAAAGCTTTGGATGCGCCGTCGAGTCGATCGTGGTTCTCGGGCTGGTTTGGTTCGTCTAACAGCGTCTCTCAGAAGGAGACTGTTAGCACGGTGTCTCGGGAACAGGGACAGTCGCTGATTGTGCGGGAATTGGAGGCGCTCAAGTCGCAGTATCCTGGCCAGATTACGGTGGATTACTACCTGGATGAGGACAATCGCTTCATTGGGAAGAATGATCTGGCCGAGTTTATCAAGCCTTCTAAAGAGGTGGAGGGCCAGCAGAAACATAAGTTGATTTTGGTGTCTGGTCCCGAGGGCTTCATTAGTTACATGGCTGGGCCTAAAGTGTGGGCTCAAGGTACGGAGCTCCAGGGCCCTCTGAAGGGCATCATTAAGGAGTTGGATCCTAAAGACTGGGCTGTATGGAAGCTGTGAGAGGCTTTCTTGCGGTTCATTCCTTTTGAAGTCATTTGTATCATATTATCTGTTTTGGTAACATATATAGCATATACCATGGAGTTATGTTGAATAGTTGCAACAGTCCCGGACCAGCTTTTGCCGTCGGCTCTCCCAATGCCCACTCGAGTTCAATAAACATAGAAAAAAAAACTTCGAGTTGAATTTTGTTTTGTTCCTCGCTAGAAAATGATCATCGCACGTGCCTCCAGGGCAGCTTACTGGGACGAAGCAAAGTCCTCAAGATACTGCACCAGCTTCTGGACGTTCTCCAGAGGGACTGCGTTGTAGTTGCTGGCACGCATGCCACCAACGCTGCGATGGCCCTTGAGACCCTGAAGCAGACGCTTCTCAGCACCGGCAATAAACTCCTTCTCCTTGGCATCGTCACCGCCGCAGACCCGGAAGCAAATGTTCATCCGGCTGCGGACGCTCTTGTTGGGGACAACCCGGTACACTTGGGGGTACTTGTCCAGAGCGCCGTAGATGAGGGCCGACTTTTGGTCGGCGATTTGCTCCTGGCCGCTGACCTTTTGGGCACCAAAAGCGGTCATCAGGTCGGCCATGACCTTGCCAGCAACCCAGAGGTTGAAGATGGGGAGGGTGTTGTAGAGAGAGTTGTTCTTGGCGATGGTGGCATAGTCGAGCACGACGGGGCCGGGCAGACCACCAATGTTCAATCGGTGCAGCAGAGCAGCGGGGGGAGTCGCAGTCTGAGGAGGGAGAAGGTCCTTGCGGACAATGGCGATAGTGATGCCAGTGACACCAATGTTCTTCTGGGCGCCGCCCTACAAGTGAGTTAGCATGGATGTTTGATGATAGGCTAATCCGAGTCACAAAAACATACGAAGATAACAGCATATTTGCTGACATCAACCTTCCGGCTGATAAAGTTGGAGCTCATATCAGCCACGACAAGCCGCTCATCCTCAGCATCCTGGCCCTGCGACTCGAGAACCTTGGGGAAGCTCTGGAACTCCACACCATCGACAGTCTCATTGTCGCAGAAATACACAAACGCAGAGCCCTTGCCACCCTCATGCTTAGTCGGGGTCAACGACCAAGTATCCTCAGCAGGAATAGCACCAAACTTGCCACCATTGGCTTTGCGAGCATCCAAAGCAACATTGACGTATTTAGATCCAATCAGTCGCGCAGCCTCCTGGGAAGCCTTGAGAGACCACGATCCCGTAACGAGGTAATCAAGCTTCAACTCCTCATCCACCTCCTTCTGCAGTCTCTGGAAAACCAATTCATCGACCTGGGCCTTTTCAGCATCTGGGTTGGCCTTCAAGACATCAGCCTCCGCGCGGCGGCGGCGGCGCTCAATCCAGACGGGGACGAGGTTCTGCACGACGGCACTGAACTCGCCACTGCCACCGGCCTGCATGAACAGGATCTCATAGTTATCCGGGATATCGAGGAGGGCGGACAGGTTCGCCTTGGCGTCATCGAGAATCTTGTTCGCGGTGGGGGAGCGGTGCGAGATCTCACCGAGGCCGAGACCGGAGTCGTTGAAGTTGACGAAGGCCTGGCCGGCAGCTTCGACGACGGGAGTTGGTAGGGGAGCTGGACCAGCTCCAAAGTAGGAGACTTCTTGCCGGGAGGGCATTTTGTGGGGAGGGTGGAATGGGTGGTGAGTGAAGGATTGGAGGGTATCTTGAGTATCGAGAAAAGAGAAGAGGGAAGGCAGTGGGGAGGAGAAAAAGAGTCACAGGTGGATCGCGTCCGCAAGTGGATCAATGGGTTTTGGGAGTCATCTCCTTCAATTTAAGTTGGTTCTACTTCTAAGGACAATGGTTACATTTTTAGTCTCTATGAACATTCACCGGACTCCCTTTTCAAGGCCAATGGGCCTGCGTTGCTGGTAATTCTGGCGGCTATGGCGGGGTATGAGTCAAGTGCGCGCGGGGAGAGTTCAAAAGTGCAGATGCGGAGGTGGACAGACTGGTATATTATTGCTGGGAAAATTCGGGATTGGAATTAGTTACTATACCATGATTGAAGATGCTGTCAAGACTATTACTCAATTCTGGCTATTTTCTGTTCTGATGTAAACTGAGGGTATATTCTTAATTATTTTTTTTTAAGATAGGAGGCTGGTGGGGCTGATCTACCTTATCGTACGAGGTACATACTTTACCTTCATCACGGATGATGACATACTATACGATCACCATCGGGGACCTGGGGTGCATGCTGAAGATTAGTGCAAATAAAAGCTCTACCTTATCTCTGTGTAGCCTTGGGGTCGTATTAGACTATTGGCATTGAATGTTCATGAATCGATAGACCCGATTTTATGTTTCACGACAACAAGTTGCCTTTTGTATGAAATGGAGTATATGAGCACGTGATACCATATACTAGGACTACTCAGATAACCTCAATAGGTATTTAGATTGGTTGTTCAAAGAAAAAGTGGTGATTCCATGGTCCATTGTCCTCGGCATCGACATTGTCCCATACAAAGTAGCTTTGATGTTCACGTTATCGGGTGTTTAAGATGAACTATTTTGTTGCATCGCATCTGACAAGTCATCGTTTCTTCAAACCTCGAAGAATCGGTATATTTAGGTCTTTTAGTTTGCCAAATCAACACACTGGCTAATCGAATCCAATCTCAGGGATTGAGACAAGTATACAAGTCCGTAAAGTCCATCCGACATCGGCAGAATAAATTCAGTCACGTGCCTGTTGATGCGCGCTGTTTGTCCTGTTTGTCCTTCACCTTTATAGCCCTGTCCAATCAGATTGAAGATGAGTCACCTCTCCAAATCCCCGGCCGCTCATTTGCCGAAAGCCGGGGATTCTTTTTCTTGCGCTGTTCCTGTCTTCAAGACTATACACAAGGGCACCCATGACTGTAAGGACTCAATTACTATTCCCTGTTGAACCAGCGACCAATACTAACCTCCCCGCTCATGCAGTCCCGATTAATGCCATCGGGCCGCCAGGCCATGCGCAGCCCCTTCCGCTCTTTGCGCCGAACCTTTGCGACCTCCCGAGTGTTCCTCCAGACCTTCAACTCCCAGCAGGGATTCCACTCCCAGCTAGAGTCCGTCACTCCAGAGGTCCTGTCGTCACTGGCTTCCAAGGCTGTACCGCAGACCCTGACTGAAAAGATTGTGCAAAAGTACTCTGTTGGTCTTGCCAAGGACAAGTTTGTCCAGTCTGGCGACTATGTGACCATTTCTCCCCACCGCTGCATGACCCACGACAACTCATGGCCCGTTGCCCTGAAGTTTATGTCTATTGGTGCCTCCAAGATTCACAACCCTGATCAGATTGTTATGACGCTGGACCATGATGTGCAAAACAAGACCGAGAAGAATCTCCAGAAGTATCAGCAGATTGAGGACTTTGCGAAGCTCCACGGTGTTGAGTTCTATCCTGCTGGGTATGATCCTCTATTGATGTGACATGCGCTTGGTATTTGATGTTCATCATTGCTAATACTCTTCTTAGCCGTGGTATTGGTCACCAGATCATGTCCGAGGAAGGGTTGGCTTGGCCCGGAACTCTTTGCGTTGCTTCCGACTCTCACAGCAACCACTACGGAGCGCTCGCTTGCTTGGTAAATACGCACTTCATATTATGCCACGAGAATGCCAAATACTGACTCTTCTAGGGAACGCCAATTGTCCGAACCGATGCGGCCAGTGTCTGGAGCACAGGCCAGACTTGGTGGCAGGTGCCTTCCATCGCCAAGATCACTTTCACTGGCGTCCTCCCGGCGGGTGTCACTGGCAAGGATGTAATTGTCGCTCTGTGCGGTCTCTTCGACAAGGATGACGTTCTGAACCACGCTCTCGAGTTCGCTGGTTCCGAGGAGACCATGCGCAGCCTGCCTATCGACAGCCGTATGACTATTGCCAACATGACCACTGAATGGGGTGCCTTGTCTGGTCTGTTCCCCATGGACGACGTGCTCAAGGGCTGGATGAAGGGCAAGGCTACCACTGCTGCGATGGGTCTGGCGGATGGTCCCTTCAAGACCACGGCTGCTCAACGCTTCACCCACGAGGCTATCGAGGAGCTCTTTGCTAACCCTCTGACTGCGGACAAGGGTGCCAAGTACGCCAAGGAGCTGTTCCTGGATCTTTCCTCTTTGTCTCCTTACGTTGCTGGCCCGAACTCGGTCAAGGTTGCTACTCCTCTGAGCGAGCTGGAGGCTGCCGATATCAAGGTGAACAAGGCCTACCTGGTTTCTTGCACCAACTCGCGTGCCTCGGATATCGCTGCCGCCGCACGGGTCTTCCGGGAGGCTGCCGAGAAGAACGGTGGTCAGATCCCCAAGATTGCCGATGGTGTTCAGTTCTACATTGCCGCTGCCTCTATCCCGGAGCAGCTTGCTGCCGAGGGCGCTGGCGACTGGCAGGTTCTGATTGATGCCGGTGCTACCGTTCTCCCCGCCGGCTGTGGTCCTTGCATTGGACTCGGCGCGGGTCTCCTCGAGCCCGGCGAGGTCGGCATCAGTGCTTCCAACCGTAACTTCAAGGGCCGCATGGGTTCGACTGATGCAAAGGCTTACCTGGGCTCTCCCGAGGTTGTGGCTGCTAGTGCTCTTAGCGGAAAGCTCTCCGGTCCTGGTTGGTACAAGACCCCCGAGGGCTGGACTGGCGTGCAGCGTGGTGAGGGTGATGGTATTGCCGAGGAGGACCGTATGCTCACTACCGAGGAAGCTCTTGAGAAGCTTCTCGGCCAGATTGATGATCTGGTGGCTGATGGCGAGAAGAAGTTCGCCCCCGAGCCCACCGAGGCCACCCAAGCCAAGGTTGAGGAAACTTCTTCCGAGGACTCCCTGACGGACGTCTACCCCGGATTCCCTGAGCGCGTGTCCGGAGAGATTGTCTTCTGTGACGGAGACAACATCAACACTGATGGCATCTACCCCGGCAAGTACACCTACCAGGACAACGTCCCCGTCGAGACCATGGCCCAGGTCTGCATGTCCAACTACGACACCGAGTTCTCTACTATCGCCAAGGCAGGTGACATCCTGGTCACCGGCTACAACTTCGGCTGCGGATCCTCGCGCGAGCAAGCCGCCACCGCCATCCTCGCCAAGGAGATCCCCCTCGTCGTCGCTGGCAGCTTCGGCAACATCTTCTCCCGCAACAGCATCAACAACGCCCTGATGGGCCTGGAAGTCCCCCGCCTACTAAGCCGTCTCCGCGAGACCTTCAGCGAGGGCAAGTCTCTTACCCGTCGCACCGGCTGGACCCTGACCTGGGATGTTCGCCGCAGCCAGATCGAGGTCCAGGAGGGCCCTAACGGAGCCAAGTGGACTCACAAGGTTGGCGAGCTGCCTCCTAATGTGCAGGAGATTATTGCCAAGGGAGGTCTGGAGAAGTGGGTCAAGAACGCGATCGAGACGTAAGGACCAGCCAGGAAGGAAAAGAAGAAAAGTCTGGCGTTTTTTGACGTGATACCCGAGCTTTGGTTTATATAGATGCCGGCGCGGCGATGATTAGCGAGATCCTTTTGTACCGTTTGAGCATGTACAGTATGGAAGAGCGTATAGTTCAATTGCATTGCATGTTAAATGTCATCTATGTGTTTTGAGTTCGATTGAGATGTGGATTAAGGTCGAGTTGAGAGTACAGACTATGTTTGATAGATCATAGAGGTCTATACAAGCCTGGATCATTTTCAACGAGATGATGATTCCTTATATTCAAGCAAATAAGCAAATAGAACAAGCATAGATCATGATTACTATGAACAGAATAAATCACTCCTCAACAACCTGCCTCTTCCAAGTCAAAAACACCACATAAAACTCCTCCGCATTAACTTCACCCCCAGCCTGACCCCCAGACCCAGCACCCCCAGCACTCGCTTCAGGATCAAAAGGCCTCAAAACAGGAACAGCAGGAATAACACTCTGCCCCCGAACAACACACGACACCAACGCCCTCCTCGGCTCCAAATCCGCCCGTCCAACAAGAGGCTGCCTCTTCAAATCCCCCTCCCCCGCACCGATCCATGTATACGCCCTCCTCGACGCAGGCTCAGCAACGAGATACAGCGGTTTCTCTAGCTCAGGCTGGACGGGGAATTTCCAGGATAAAGCTCGCTGGATGATAGCGTCTAACTGGTCTCTTTTCCGCATGATGGTTTCGAATTCGATTACTAGTTCTTCCAGGCTGGGGATGGTGGTGAATTGGTTTCCCCATGCTTGTTTCAATTCGGAATTTGGGTGTGCATGCGAATGATCGATTCGACGGCCCATTTCGTTTGCACGGGTACGGCCTGGTCGAAACGGGTCTATACCGAGTGGTTCGTTGTTCTCCCAGAACCACCAGTCCGTATGGCGGAACGTGATTGTCATCTTTTTAGGTGCGATGACGCATTTTGGAGCTCGATTATTCTGGCGCCGGCCGTATCTCTGTCTTTTACCACCGTCTGGATAAATATCAGAATCAAGATCGAGAGTGCCTATTTGCATCCCCTCCCAGATCCGAGACCAATTTTTATCTTCCAAGAAGAACTGCTGCGTAAAGAAATGCAGATGGTGTACTTGGGCGCGCTGCTTGGGACTCATTTTTCTGAAATAGCCTAGTGGCGAGCTGGCATCTTTCACGTGTGGTGGACTGCGGTAGAACCAGAATGTGTGTTCGTTTATGGAGGCTGGGAGGAGGGAGGCTTCGTTGTAGATTTGTTGGCATGTTTGGAGGAGGGCGGTTTGGATGCGTTTGGGTTGTTTGTAGCCTGGTCGGTAGTAGAAGGCGTTTTGGCGGTAGAGATGGGGGTGGATGGTGGGTTGGTTTGTATTGTGTTGGTTATGGTTTTCATTGTTGGTGGTGTTGTTGTTGTCGTTTTCATTGTTGGCTGTTGTTGGACTTTGGGTTGCGGGGATGTCGATATTCTCGGATTCCAGGGAAAAGGTGTAGATGCGGTTGCGGATTTCTGGAGGGAAGATGGTGAAGAGGAAGCAGGAATTTTGTTGGATTGCGGGAAGTGAGGGGATTAGATCGGAGTCGTTCTTTGTAGATTCTGTGTTTTGAGGCTGCTTGGGTGGTGGTGGTGGTGGTGGGCGGGGGCGTAGGACTCGTCGGTTTGGATCCATCTTGAAAGTGTTGTACCGATTGATAATTGAATACTCGGAGAAGAGGAGCGGGTTCAGGTTAGAATATATATACCTGACGTGGAAAGAATCGAAGATCCCCGCTAGGTGCTTTTCTGGTGGGTAATTCGGTGCTTGGACTGGAGCCCCGCTGTAGCCTGAATCAGAATATGGACCGTTTGGTATCTGAGAGGCTGAGATGCATCAGACTTGCCCAAATAGGAAAGGTTAGTCTGATGGTTGCCTGAAATTCGATGCTCGCGGAGTAGTTTTGAGCCGCAAAGAGTGCGAGCTTAGAGAAGTGACGTATCTTGCACGACCACCGAGTTAGGTAACTGGTGCTCGGAAGATGATGAATAAGCGCTGCTCATCAATTAACTAACTAGGTATCTACTAAGAAAATAGTTGGTTATGCTGAGGTAGCTCTAAAAGTATATGCAATTCATGAATAAGTCTAAATACAAATAACTCCTCCCTGCGCTAGATGTTGAATGGACTCTTCACTCCCAATGTGCCGATCCAGATGTTGAAGACACGATTCCATCGTGCAGTCTGTGATCCAGTGAAGATAAATCAAATAAACAAGAATATCAATATCAGAATCCCGTGAGGCCGAAGACCTAAAGTCCCGACGCTATGGGCTCTGACGGAGTAAACACGTTGCACACGGTCCGCAGCTTGGTCAACATCTCTTGCCATTCGCCCTCGGCTGTGCTGAGGGTAGTCACTGCGCCACCGGCACCAATCCTCCACGTCTGATGGCTTTGAGTCTCATCTGGGAAGCGAGTAAAAGCGGTTCGAATCAGAACTGAGAAACTTCCTCCGCCGCCAAGGTCAAGATACCCCATCACGCCAGAGTAGATACTGCGCTTCCGCGCTTCAATGTGCCGGAGGTGTAAGCACGAGCGCTCCTTCGGCGCACCAGTCATGGACCCCGGAGGCAGACAACGCTGAAGCGCTGTGAGACCATGAACGGCCATATTCGACGATTTCAACTGAGGCATATGCCTTACAGCATACCCGAGTTGTTCTGCGCGAACTTCACCCTTCACATGCGTGATCATCTGGTAAACTCTCCCATGATCCTCGACTTCAAGTAACTTCTCGACGCGAACACCGCCTGATCCACAGATCCCGTATAGATCGTGGCGAATTAAATCAGCGATCATCAGGTTCTCGGCCATTTCTTTCGTCGTTCCTAAGATTTCACGGGCTTTTTCCATGGTCATGTCTGGTGTTTTGCGGACGGTCCCTTTCATGGGTTTCATTTCTAGCATGGAGGTGCGGTCCCAGTTGAGGAAGCATTCGGGACTGCTGCTGACGATTTTGGCGGGGCCGAGGTCTGCGAAGGCGCTGAATGCGGCCGGGTTGTATTTTCTTAGTTTCTTGTATAGTTTCCAGGGGAAAATGGCTTGGTCTTCTTCTGTTGCGGGGGTCGGTAGTGTGATTGATGTCTCAGATGTTAGACAGAGCTCGTATGATTCACCGGCTTCTAGTTCGGCTTGGCAAGCCTCGATTTGCTGTTTGTAGGTCGCTTCCTCTGGGAATGTGATTTGACCATCTCGGAGGATAGAGTCTAGGAATTGGGTATCGACAGTTTCATTGTTTTGAACGGCTCCAGAAGACTCCTGTAGCAGTTGCAATGTCTCGTCGAGCCAGCCACATGGCAGGTTATCGAACTCGCAGGTTGACTGTATGATGATATTTCCAGTGGTGTTGTCGATGACGATGCTCCTTTCACACCATAATAAACTAACGTCGGCCGGATTGTTTCCAGAACTCTGGGACGATTTGCGGGAAGCGCTTTCATGAGATGTTGGCGGCGTCGAAGATCCCTTGGGATGAGGCAGGCAGGCCAGGCCCAGCTCGTAGGAGAAATATCCCAGGAAGCCACCCCAGAAGGGAACTCCAGCGCTGCCCGAGTGGACCTTTTTCATTTCCATCAAGTATCGAAGAGCATCCCAGACTTGAGTGACGGTCAAGGAATCTTCGACTGTTTTGCCGTCAGCGTTGAGTTGATACATGATCAACTTCAGAAACTCAACGTTGAATTCGAATCGCCATGAACCAGGGCTAGGAACTGAAATGATGTTATAGCGACCATTTGACTGAAACAGCACTGTCGGTGCTCCAGGCTTGTTGAACAGCTCGCTGATAGACTCTGCAGTCAAATTGCCTCGATTGAGAGATCGACATGCCGAAGAGGAAGACGTGGATGAGCTCCACTTCAACATTTCATATGCGATTTCCGGGAAGCACTTTGTATCTTCGTGTGGAGTGATGATCGTCTCAGGAAGGATCGCATATCCCCCGCGCCCGACGATCTTATTAAACGTAAGAGCCTTGCGCCACCAATTCAACAGCAACGTTTTGCAAGCATCCTTTTCCGACTTGCAAGATTCAGGATGAAATTGAACACCCCAAAATGGCTTTTGGCGATGACAGACTGCCATTGGTATTTGGGCTACCGAACCAGACCGCTTCTCAAGAGGAAGCCACGCCAAGAATTCAAGATCGTCAGACGGCAAACCCCGCGGTCTGCTCACGGCATCCAGATTGGCGTACAGCGAGTGATAAAGCGTAACCTCCACATCGGATAGGCCTTCAAAGATATCCTTTGATGTTGTTGAAATATGCCGGACCTGACCATGCAGTGGATAAGGCAGACGCTCGATCGGGACACCGTAGTGTAGACACAAACTCTGAAAGCCCAGACAGATGCCGAAGACCGGAAGCAGCTCGGCATCCCGCAGATTCCAGATATCTCGCATGATGCCGACGTCTTTGGGCAGATTGGGATTTCCAGGACCGGGACCTAATACGATCGCTTCATAGTGTCGGAGGAATTCGTTCATGTTGCCGTCCGGCCAGTCAGAGTCAATTGTCATTACGGTGACTTGGACGCCCAGCGTCTCCTCAAGCATTGCGACCACATTGTAAGAAAATGAGTCGTAGGCATCCACATAGAGAACGCTTTTCATAGAATCGACATCCTTGTTGGATGAATGTGATGATGGAGTGGCGTCTCCATCCCAATTGCCCAGCAGCGGCGCCATCGTGGGCTGCGCCTTTTGAGTCACCGAAAATACACAAACAGATGAAACACGCACAAATTCTCACAGCCCGAGGGACTAATAGCTCGGTATAAGAACAGCTGAGACCGACGGTGCGCGTGGAAAGCCCCGGCTATTAAATTTTCGCGGCGCTTCACGAATCCGAGTCAGACATGTCCCGATTGAGGTCTCGGAGAGTGGCGTTGTCAGCGTTCATCAGCACCACGCCCCTCGTTTGATAGGTTCGGGCGAGGAGAGTTAGCGCCGCATCGTATATCGCGGCTATGATGGCGATGGAAATAGTCGATGCAGCTAATAATGCATTGTCCAGGAATTGGATGAGGTTACAGAAATGAAAAATTAAGGTTGGGATGCAGGCAAAAAGCGGGTACCGCCGGAAAACGGATGGAGCCATTCGGGTGGCGACGCCCTTTTGATGGAGATTGGTCTATGGAGAGAGGTTCTTATCGATTGGTGATATGGTACTGACAGAAAGGAGAGGGTATCCAGCATTTCTAAACATAGCAAAATTCTAAATATTCAACATCGATGACACTGCGCATGAATCACTACTGCTGCTGCTGCTGCCGCTGAGAAAGCGTGGCGAGCTTGGCCGCCACTCTGGGGAAATACTGGGCCACAAAGCCCTCGGTATAGTAGCTATGCGCAGAGCTATGATCGCCAACAAGATTGTGGGCCAATTCGTGACACAGAATCACCCACCAGTAGACAATCGCATCAGTACGGTCGGGAGTCGCGCTCTGGAGGAGGGCTGGCTCCTGCAACTGCTGGAAGTAGAAGTAGTTACAGAAGATGCTGCCCGCTCGGTTGAAAGCAATAGTCTTGCCACCAGGATCATAGAAGATACTCAAGCTGTCAGCACGCATTGAGAAGATGGAGCCGCAATCCAGAAGAATCGATGCGAATAGGTTGATACCGGTTCTGTTGTTTGCGAGGAAGGCAGACCGATCGGTGATGGTCCGCACAAACAATACATTGACGCCGCTGGGGAGAGTAGCAACGAATTCCAGATCGTGACTCGGTCGCTCATCGCAATAAGACTTGCTTTCTGAGATTTGATTCGTCTCGGGTCGGCTGTACACGTCGGACGAACCATGAGGTCGACAGGCCTGGACCGCGGAAAGAAGTTCCTGGTTCAATCGGTGCGGAGAACTGACGGATACTGGTTGTTCAGGACGTTTGTTCTGAGGATCTGAGGCGGAATAAGGCGGTGGTGGTGGAGGAGGAGGCGTAGAAGACTCGGGGAGTAGAGACTGTGACTGCTCTGACGTCAAAGAAGATTGGTTCTTGTCCAGGCCGAATCGTTTTGACAGATTCGCAAATATCCCACGAGGAGTCCGCTCGGGAATAGCAGATCCAGCAGGTGTTGCTTGGGCTTCATCCACCAAGGATTTAGCATTAGGTGACTCGGGGAAGACGCCAGGCATAGGGGTCTGCGGCTTTGGCTCAGGCGTCTCTTCTTGAGCTCGCTGTGCTTGAGCCTCAGCCCATGCCGCTTCCTTTTCTTTCAAGGCCCGCCTGTCCTCTTCCAGCTGCTTCTGGCGTTTATCCTCGGCCATCCGGGCTTCATGCGCCTTTTGCCGGAGAATACGCTCCACATTGTAACCACGAGCACGGAGCTCCAAAAGATCGGTCTTCAACAGCATCTCCAAGGTCAGCGTGGAATGGAGCTTGGGCCGCTTGAGGATCAGATGAACTAGTGATTGACTGATCTCATAAAGATCATACTTGCCTGGGCAAATGCACAACCCACAGTTGCTAGACAGTCTTGCAACAATGGCACTTCGCTTCTGGGTATGAGATGCCCTCCGACCCTTCAATGAACGTGTCAGCGTGATGGAATTGACCACTTGCACCACAAAACTCGTCTCCAACCATCTGGCGCCATGCTGAATCGAGTCGGCGGGCTGGTCGTGTAAGAACAGCCGTGCGCGTTCGAGGATCACTTTGTGCAACTTGGCGCCCGAGCTCTGGTCAGCGGCCACGCCACCAAATCGCGCTTGTTCCTCAACAAGACTGCTCAGGGGAACAGCGCCCAGGGCCACGTAGAAGTTCTCCAAAGCTTCCTCCTGGGGTGCAGCAAAGATGTGCTCTTTGAAAAGATTGAAGCTCTGGAAGTCATCAACAACGACGACATCCTTCGCAGCCGAGAGACTCCATTCACGGATATCCAAATCTTCGTCCGCGTCTGCGGTATCCTTCTCGCTGACCTTAGCTTTACCACTCTGAGTAGGCGGGATGTCCCGACTGGCTAGCAGAAACTTGGCCCTCTTCATATCACTGAAAAGCTCCCGGTCCTTCTTAAGGACGGGGAGGTGCTCGGCCAGAGTCCGCAAAAGCATCAAATATTTGTCAGAGCTTTGAAATGCAGCAGAGATACGAGCGGGTTCTTTCACGAGCATGCGAGCAATCTCATTCTTGGTCGGCTCTCTCCTCGAGCCCACGGCCATAAGGAAAAGATTAGCTTCCTGTCCAAAGTCCACAAAGTCGAAAACATCCTTGTAGTCTTCGCCGTCACCGAGATAGCACAGTCGGGGTGCAACGAGACGAGTACGAGGACCCTTTTCTGACAGGCTGTGAATGGCAACAGGAATGATGGGTGTATTTCCAACTCGCTCAGTATCTTTGGGACTGAGGTCAGATACCCTGCCTGCAAGATATTTGAAAATCGTTCTGGCATCTCTTTGAGTAGCCGGAGGCTGGCGAATGAGAGTCTCAAGACAGTCAGACATGGGAGGATGAGGCTTCACCCCCCAGTTTGGAAGAATGTGAATGGAGGCGCTTTTGCAGAATATTGAAGCCAAATAAGGATGCACCTTCATCAGTGAAGCATCTCTTTGGTGTGCTGAGACTGTCCGAGCCCTCAACTGGGAGGAACGGCACCGTGACCGCATTGATATCAAACGCGGCATATCCATTTGTGTGGTACTCGTTGAGGAAGTAAGCCAGTGCCTTGCTCTTTCGACTAGCATCCTTCTCAGAATCGCTCATCACCATAAGCCGGATGAGTTCAGACCCAGACGGATAGCTCTTCAACCCCATCATGGTGAGGAATTTGCCCTCATTGCTTGCATTGTTGTAGATGCCCGGCCATTCGATGACAGGTAGGCCCAGTGCACGGAGTGAGTCTTTCGGCTCATACAGCTCAGCAATCTTATAGCGAGTGCCTCGGCTTTGAGCATCATTTTCAGCAGTGCAAATGCTTGTGTTTTTGAGTCTCTGGATATCATTGGCAGGAATGTCCTCTCGTACAGAGGTGAGGTAGCGGATGAGATCCACGTGGTTCCATCTCCTGGCTGGAGGCCCTTTCGCGTCCACAGCTTCCGGTGTATTGATCAGGCGATCAAAAATGACACCGAGCTCAACGGTCTTGCGAACTCCAAGAGCAACCAAGAATTTCTCCTTTACACCGTTGAGGCTGTGAACGACTGGTAAGTCATCAAAAAGTCGAACAGAGGCGAAATATGTCTGCGTCGGCTGTTTCATACCGAGTTTGGTCGGAATCACAGTTTGCGGTTGCAGAACATCAATGACTGCTTGCCGTGAAGAAGAGCTCAGAATCTCCCACCCCTTGGACAGCACAGGCAAGACCTGTCCGGCAAATGCAGGGTTTTTCATGATGTTTTGCTCCTTCTCAAGGAGACTTTCATCACCGGCATTCGTAACGAGCCATCGGAGCCAGGGGACAATTTGGAGCTCCACCCAGCCTAGGGCCTCGAGCTCCGATTTACTCAGGGATTTGGTGAATTGGAAGGGCATCACCGAAGGTGGCACGGGCAGATCAGCTGGAATGCGATGAGGATTCAAGAACCCAACAATGTCGGCAAACACGATCAAACGGGTCGGACGCCCTTCTTTATCATCATTATTCGCCACTGCAACTCGCAATAGACTCTTCACGGACATGCCGTCGAGTTGTCCGCTAACGGCCTTGCGGCCAAGCCATGATAAGAACTCCATAATCTGATTAGGTCGTAACGTGTTGGACTCCAATTCACGTTTGATATCAGAAACGGTGATTTCTGTAACTAATCCAAAGTCTGTTAGCCTTTGGACAAAGTCTTTGGCATTGAGCACAAGTTCATCGGGCAAGGCTGGAATCGAATCCATGAAACTAAGCTCCTTGGGAGCAATGCGCGTTTGGTGACTGGGAATCACGCCGCACGTAGAAAGCACTTCTATAGAAGCATTCTTATTGCACATCCAGAATGCATCCTCGATTGTCTGCCCGAGAACAGACGAAGGCGTAGACTCGCGAAAGACAAATTGATTTGCAGTGTGGATAGCCTCGGGGAGGACGTCCACAATGTCCTCTTTTCGAATCTTCGAAGCACGTGTTGAGCCGACTTTGGCGGCAAGCTTGGATTTGATGGTACTCATCTCCGCAGACCAGGCGATCCGACAAACAATGCCAACAGCCCGGAGCATCTCAAGATTCCACTTGCTGATGTAACGGGTATTGAGATCAATGCTTTCACGCTCCACCGTAGGGATGACTGATGGTGCTGACACATGAGCATGGAGGCCGGTGGTTTGTTGCGTGGGGAAGCCGATGAATATCCTGCCAGCTTTGGTGGGTAGAATCGAGGCAAGGATCTCTGACTGCGACTCAGATGCGCCCGTCGCGATGTTGGCATCGTAAGACGGTGTCAATATGGCAATGGTTGCTCTCTTTGGAGGCGGCTTCCTCGTGGCCCGTTCAAGTTCCTTGGCGAGAGAGGTTGTAATTGAAGGCTGGATAGACGCAGTATTGATATGTAGGAACACAGTCGCCCTAGACATGATGGACATATTGGCTGTCTCGTCGATTTTCTCTGCTTGCTGAGTACTTGGAAGCTTCTCAGGTCCACTTTGACCAGTAAACTTGGAGAAGAAGCTGCGCAGGGAGCTCGTGGTATCTCGAAGGTTGTCCAAGCGGAACATGCTTGCATTAGGATTCCACTCCACGATTCGCATCCATGCCGCATCAACTTGTGCAATTTCTTGGGTGATGCCGGTAACCTTCATCAGGCCTTCGTTCGTTTTTGTTTCGACATCCCTGGGAATTGGAACATTGACGCCAGGTGCTGTCTTCTTCGACAGCTTAAGCAAATTCCAATCATCTAGCCACAACTCGATCTCTTCCAAGGCAACAAATGTCAGACTGCTCGACAAAAATTGACACAATTGCATCAAGGAAGGAATCGGCGAAGAATCATTGCGGTAGTCCAGCACAAAGGTCGTGTCTCGGGATGGGGTTTCACCCAGGTCTAAGCGACGGGTGAACAGAGCATTGCCCTTCCAATAAAAGGCCATGGCCTGACTGCCCGAGGATACAAATGGTTCTTCACAGTCATCAAATACACTGTAGAAGCCAACACCAAATGCGCCAATCTTTGTTTCGTCCGGGTTTCCATCGGCAATGCGCTTCAACCTAGCCCAGTCCTTCTCGCTAAATGGGAGACCATTATTTGAGATTAGAAGACGACGAAGGGTATGGTTGGATATCGTGTGTTTTAAGAGGGCTGTCGGGTCTGTCGTCGATGGAGTTGGGACTATCGTGGAGGGTAAGGTCTCGAATTTAATGGTCACTTTGGTCGCGGAAGCATCGGCGGCGTTCTGGATCATTTCACGTAGGACGGTCCTGTTGACAGCGTGTTAGTATTCTTACAGGTCGTAGAGTGCATCCAGTGTAGGCATTCCCAAGAGACTGACCATTTTCCAGAATACCGAGCGAGAACTTTGGAGATCAAGCCTCGTGTATCAACCGTTACTGCTTCTTCATCAGCACCAGACCCCATAGTCCGGGCTTTTAGTGCGTTGAAGTCCGTATTCAAAGCCATTTTGTAGTCTATTATCAGGCGATGTCTCTAAAGCGTAGCTGTCTCGATCCAAGTGGCGTATGCAAAGCTTGCATGGAATGGAGATGCCTATGTCATCTTTCGGCGGGTAAACAAGCTCTGGCGGGGTCTGCGATAGAAGGGAAATGACCGATAGATATCTAAGCTGTAGCGAATGTGTTCGTGGATGATTATTCACAGCAAACAGATGTAGATCAACGAAGGATATGACGAGTCCACTTCGAAGCCAAAAGAATGACAAGTGAGACCTTCGACGGACACCTCGGCGACTGCGGAGAGCCCCTTATCGCTCTGAGCTTATCGGCGGCTTAGCTCAGCAGCCAACCTTACCTAATCAAGTTTGTTTCCCCAGTACATCACAGCTTCAGGAGCCTTTGCGGAGTCGAGTTCCTTGGTCGAGCTCAAGTCGCTCGCTGTTCTCGCGGCTTGTCCAGTCATTACTGTCGCTTTGCTGTGGCATTTTGTTCCCCTCCTGCTTGGTCCCTTGAGCCGGCGCCTTCTGGAAGCTGGGCTGTTCCGTCTGTTGTGAATGTGGGCCTAATACTGTCAACCGCTTCTACCCCGTTCTCTCAAATGACACCATGGGAGTCGACCCTCTATCTCCAATTGCGCCGGTGCGCCTGCGGGCGTTACTGCTTCCAATTGGCAAGATCAAGCGCTCACGCTTCTTGAGCTTCGCCGCTAGACTACAAGCTGAGAATGTGGTGCGGCTAGGGGACATTAGTCCCGACTCTCGTCCAAACCGAAGTACGCAATGACTAGCGGAGTGTCAACCGGCCTGTGCAACTGCAATGACTAGATGGGAAAGCTGACTATTTGATTTCATAGATATGTTCTCCCCGCTTGCCTTCCCCACTGGAATGATTCTCTACGATTTGTCCTTCTCCGTTCCCCCCACCTCGCATCTGGAGCTGTTCCCATTCGAGATATTCAGAGAGCCGCTGGTCATTATCGCTATAGCCGACGGTAGAGAGCTGTCACAAAGCTCTGGAGCCAATGCAAAGCATCCCACGCCGCAGGAATTGGACCACTTACAAGAGGAGCTAGATGCGGTGAAGGAGAGAAACCCGCGGGCATTGGTGAATCAACTCCTGGTCTTCGACTATGAGGGCCTTGATAGTATCACCAATGGTCCAGAGAATGTTCTCTGGGTTCCTCGGCCCGAAGCCTCCAAGGCGACTACTATGAAAACTGTCCTGTGCGATATCACTTCCATCCTGCTATCAGAGCTGGATGAATTCGCCAAGACAATTCAAAATATCCCGTCGATAGAGTCACCTAGAGCTTCATCATGGGGCCCATATCGAAACCCGGAGTTGCGGCCGCGACCTGTGGACCGACTGTTAAATCGGATGACTTTGCCTGCGCAACTGCCATCCACCCCGAATGGCGCACCACCAGAGACACCCCTGAGATCGAATGCCACATCCCCCGCTCCTAGTGATCATGAAACGCCTACGACGTTCGACGAGATCACGCGATCCATTCACCTCTCTCGCACAAACTCGGGCCAAAGGAGTCCCTCAATAGCGTCTCCCAAAGAGCATAGCCGGGATCGCATGTCTGTGAGTGGCATAAGCGCCACTGATAGGACCAAAAATCGTATCAAGGGCCGGTCTGGTGTTGTCATTGGCACTCTCTTCCTGCAGGCAGGAAGGTGGCCAGATGCGCTCAAAGAGCTAGTCGAGGCAGCCAACAATGCGCGAGCTGGTACGGACTATGCCTGGCACGGTAAAGCTCTGGAGAACATTCTTCTCTGCCTCGTGATGATGGCATGGGCAGGGATAGACTTTCAAATACCTCCCGTTCTCTATCCGGTTGCCGACAAGGCCTCTAAGGCGGTTAGAGATGCGATTCAGGCACCATCTGCGGCTGGGAACCGCATGGTCTCTCTCCAAAACCTCGCCAACTTATTACCCGACCTTTCCAACACCATTCTGAACCTCTACACTCGTGCCGCCAATATAACAGAGGAACCTCTGCCTCAGCTAGTATTCTCCGAAACTGTAATTCGATTGTCGAGGCTGATGGTCTCTGCTCGTATCCGGGACGGCGGACTTGATGACAATGCTTTGAAGCACATCGTGATGAATGAGCCTTTAATCCCGTTACGTCAACCAGAACTTCCCCGCGGCACTATTGTGCTTCGCAAGTCTGAGATTGCCAATTTCCTCTATCGGGCTCTCCCGCTTGCCCCTGAAGCAGACTTGCCTGCTACGGATGCTGTTCCGATTATTGTGGGTGTCATATCCGTCCTCAATACTCTCGACCTGCCACGGAAGAAGGCCTTTGTCCTGCGTGAACTTCTTACCGTGATGGTACCCAGTCTTGTCCAGGCTCGGAAGATTGGTGCTGCAGAAGTTGGTATTCATCCTGCGGCCGGATTGGCCTCTCTCAGTGACACGGCATTTGATGTCAATGCTCTCGATGTTGGTCCTGGTAACATGGAAACGAGTGTCCGTCTTCTTCTAGCTACAATTGGCGAGATTTATGGAGTACAGCCTTCGGCATCCTATGAGTGGGAGAAACGACAGAGTCGGATGTCCTCTTCGGGCGGCGCACAAGATCTTCCCGCATATGATTCAATTGCCAGCATTGCAGAGCGCTCTTTCCGTCATATTGCGCTGGATCGATATGGCGATATCAATCTCAAGATTGATGTTCTAAAAGCGTGTATCAACTGCTGTGAAGCGCTTCCCGATTTCGATGGCGTCCTCCGTTTCACAGTGGAGTTATTGCAAACGATTCGTGGAGACATGATGCTCAATGAAGCTCACAGGGTACCACCATATCTGCCACAAGACGAACAAATTCGTCTCTTGAATAATATCAAACGCACGGTGGGAGCCGGAACTCGGTTGGGTGCGGCCAACATGGCTGCTGAATACTGGGATGATTTCCTAGTCCGTGATGTTCAGCTTTTGGCACTACCTGATCCACGCCGACCAGTCCGTCGATCCAAGACAGAGCTTGATGCCGTTACAACGGGCTCTGAAAAGGCAAAGAAGGATCCTTTCCTGTATAACCCCTTCGCCAAGCCCAGTAGCAAGGCTTTGGAGGTTCTTGCAGTGACTGATGAACCTGCCTCTTTCCGAGTGACCCTTCAGAATCCTTATGATTTTGAGATCGAGATTGAACACCTGCGGCTAGAAAGCGAGGGTGTGAACTTTGGGGCTGTGGCAGAGAACATCATTCTTCCTCCACTCTGTCTGCACGATATTATTGTGCTTGGTACTGCTCACGAGGAGGGAAACCTTGAAATATCTGGCTGTATCGTCAAAGTGCGTCATTGCCGGGAGCGACGATTCCCTATCTTCAGGGAATTATGGAAGCCTGAACCTGAGATCAAGTTCAAGCGAACGGGACTCTCTGCAAAGAAGCCGCTCAGCAATCGTCCAATGTCCTGGAGCTCAACTACATCCAAAGATGGAAAAGTTTTGGCGAAGAAGGGACCTCAAACGGAAACTTGCCAGGTAAAGGTCATTGGCAAACAGCCATCTCTACTGATTGAGTCTATGTCGCTCTCGCAATCGGCAATGATGCTCCTCGAAGGCGAGGTCAAATCATTCTCCATCACTCTCCAAAATACATCCTCGTGCCCTGTGGACTTTGTCTTGTTCACCTTCCAAGACTCGACCACTCGCCAGCTTCAGTCGGCCTTGAGAAATAAGGACTTGCTTCCGGTGGAGATTTATGAGCTAGAATTGAAGCTGGCCACTCAACCTGCCTTGAGATGGCGCCGTGAGGGCCCGCAGTCCGATGACTGGAATATCTCACCTGGCGAGAAGGCCACGTTCACCGTGGATGTGTTGGGTAAGCCTGGATTGCAAGATACGACGGTGCAAATTGACTACTCGTACTTGAAGAGCAAGCAGGGACAGCTGCCCGAGGTGTTTTACACGAGGCAACTGTTCGTCCCACTGACTGTCACGGTCAACGCCAGTGTGGAGGTTGCTCGTTGTGACATCCTGCCTTTTAGTGGGGATTTCGCTTGGAAGAATCATCTCGATGCCCCGTTGGACTCGGTTCAGTCATCAGACTCCCCATTGTCTGCCACCGACAAAGATCCGTTCTCTCAAATTCTTTCCCGCCTTGGAAATGGTGCATACGGACCAGATCACTGCATCGTTCTGATCGACCTCCGCAATGCATGGCCGAGCCCCCTGTCCGTATGGCTGCGCGTGAACGAACACTCTATTGTACAAGCCCCCGAGTCGTTCAAGGATGACAGCAAGGGCCAGTACTCTCTCGATGGAAGCCTCCAACCCGGTCAGGTCTCGCGATTCGTCCTCGTTCTCCCTCGAGTCTACTTGGACAACCCATATGCCAGCATTCCCGTCGTCAACACGGGCACTCGTCGCCAGTTCGTCGTCAGCGCTAACAAGCTCACATTCGAGGCGGAGGCAGCCTCGCGTGAGGCATTCTGGTTCCGGGAAGAGCTTCTCAAACGGATACTCGGAGGCTGGTCCGAACCCGCTACTGGCCGCAAGGGAACCATCGATCTACGCAACATCCGTCTAAACACCCGCATGGTAGAGGCAATGCGTCTTGAAGACATGGAGGTCTCCTTTTCCCTAACATCTCCCACTTCCAATGACACACCCTCTACAGTACAACAAACTGGCCGCTCCTGTTTCCACGCCCAAACAGACGACCTCCTAACCCTAACGGTGACCGTCCGCAATCGTTCTTCTCGTCCCCTCCATCCCCTCCTCCGCCTCCAGCCAAGCCTACGCCACCAACCAAACAACATCGCATTAGATCTGACCCGCCGTCTTGCCTGGACTGGCATGCTCCAGCAAGCACTTCCCATTCTTCAAGCCGGAGAATCCACCCAAACCTCCATCTGCGTGACAGCTCTCTGCCGCGGCGAGTACGAATTCGGCGCCAGCGTCGAGGAAGCCCGCCTCCTGCGGCATCTTGGGGAGGACGGTAAAGAAGAAGATCCCGATGCTGCTACCCGGTTCATCGAGGATGGGATTAAGGATACCTTTGGTGCGGACGTGGTTCGGCGTCGACGGATTTGGCATGCGAAGGAGACTTGTGTCATCTTCGCTCGGGGTTAGTCTTTGCTTTGCTCGGCAGGGTAGTTCTGTTGTGATGATGGCCCACTCTCGCGATCCTTTTTATTGTTGAGTGACGTTTATGATACATAGACCTTGTTGTTTCCCATGACTTTCATGTCATCGCTGTGTTTTGAGTGGTCTAATGTGATGATGGGTCACATCTCTTCTTGTATACTTTTTACATAGTCTTAGCGTGGTACATATACACCCTGATGAATGAAACTTTCTCGATTACGAGGATAAATTGATCGGAAGCTACTCTTCTTCTTCTTTATGCTTGGATCCTTGTAACTTGATCGATGCCGGCTCAACGTCGTCCCTACTCCTAATCAGTACGGCTAGCGCTGAATCCAGTATAGAGTCGTGAATTATAGCAAGGTTTCAGTGTACGAGTTTAGACTGAGAGTTGTAGACTGATCATCATTCATTCAGTGGCATTATGTCTAAACACCGACAAATGCTGGCTTGGTGCACATAGATTAGGCTCCTGAAACCAAGTCCATGGCCAGCCAGCCCTGGATCTATCGGGTTGTACACGACCATATATACGCCCAGGGTAACCTAACAAAGGCTCGAATGGTAGGTTGTGGGGGCTTCCCTGTCGGAACCGGAGGGGGAATGCCGCTATAGCTCCGGGCTTTGTGTCGGGGTCAGATATTGCAATAAACAGCAACTGCTTGGCAATGTGCTGTCGAGGATGATTGGGATGTTGAGTACTGTCAGACAAATTGGATAATGTCAAGTCCGACAGAATCATCGTCGTGCAACACTTCACCCCGTTCCGCCCTCAGCCCCCTCAGCAGGCACAGACTTGTCCCGATTCCCAGCCACAGGCTGCGTCTCTCCCAGCGGGAAACTGAGATGCTTCCAATCCTCAATCTCCTCAATGATACACTTCAAGCGATCCCGAATACTCTCCACCGCATAAGTCCCCAGAATCAACCGCAACGGAGGGTACGAGCAATGCCCAAGCTCCCAAACAAGATGGGCTGCCTTGACTGCTGAAGCAGGCTGCTTATCCCCCAGCCACATTAGCATGCGTCTCGCATGTGCCGCGGGGGATGTCGGGGTGTTATACGGCTCGCTGGGCGGTTTCACCAAGAAATGTCCGTACAGCGGCAGCGGCGAGGAGAGATTGTGTTCGGAGGAGTTAGCAGCCATGATGGATGGGGAGACCAAATCACCAATATCATCGCGGCGCATATGACCCGGCTCAACGAGCGTCCCCTTAATATTGAAGCTATCCACTTCATACAGCATACTCTCCATCAACCCTTCAACCGCATACTTGGACGCACAATAAGGTCCCAACCCCGGCACACCCAGCGCACCAGACGTCGAGCTGAAAATCAAATACCGACCGGCGCGCCGTTCCCGAAAATGCGGCAATGACAGCTGAATCATATTCAACGTGCCGGTGAAATTTGTCTCGAATTGATTGCGAATGTCGAACTCGTCTTGGTCCTCGCAGGCGCCGATCACGCCGTAGCCGGAGCAATTGGCGATTACATCGATGCGGCCGAAGCGTGCGATTGTCCGGTCGATGACGCGCTTGACTGTTTCGCGGGCGCGCACGTCGCAGAGGAGGCCGAGGCAGTTTTCGTGCTCAGCTTCCAGCTCTTTCATGCATTCGGGGCTATTCTCGTACGTACGGCCCACGGCGGCGACGAGGTCGTTGCGGGATAGGGCATTTTTGACCAGAGAGCGGCCCATGTGGCCTGTTGCTCCGAAGATCTTGACATAACATGCAGGGTCAGTCGTTGGAGCTTGCGTATGAGCTGTAGAGTGGGGGAGGTGCACTTACCAACCATACGAGGGGCTTGGGGGGATTCTGTGGGCCTGGGGGGTCAGTCGTTGACGGAAGATGCAGTCGCGGCTCGCGAGACGCGATAGGAGAAGCGGGTCCCCCTTTTGGAGGGGAGTATTGCTCCATTTGCAGGTAGGCAGGTGAAGGCGATGAGAGAACGAGGGGAATGGGCGGTGGAAATCTCCCGCATTGTCCGGGGAGACCCACCCAACACCAGACGGAGTATGTAATCCATGCATATGGACGCTTCGAAGAATACAACGATTAGCTTAGGAGATATTCGATGTTTTCATGAATCCAATGGTAAAGATGAGTGACATTATCATATACTAGGTCCCACCAGGGAAACATCTACAGCGCTTAATGCCCATTACCTAGCGCCCAACCTCCCTCCGCAGCCGTCCAGCAGCTGTCGTGGGACCAGACTCTGGCCAGCTGCCAACGGCATCGTCCACTTCTTCGAGGAACGTGGTACTGTTGTGAATACTAGTACCGCTCAGAATGACGCGCACACCGGGGGAGCTGGCATTGACCTGCGCCACCATCTTGGCCTCCTCGTACGTGGTGCCACCGACCATGAAAATGATGATATCCTGTGGCTTGTCCCGGGTATGCCCGCTGCCTTCGAGGAACGGATACTGCAGCTCTTTCAGACGACCTTTGATAAGATTTTGGAGGGTCACCTCTAGTCGCGGGGAATGTTGGGTGTATACATTCTCGACGCCCTTGAGACCCTTGAATCGGTCTCTGGCGCCTGAAAAGAAAGAGGTTGATTCGAATAGATCAGTAAAGCCACCGGCCACGGGTGGAGCTTGGAGAGAGTGATGATAGGCGAGGAGCTTGGAGATTATGTTGACGCGGTGGGAGGGAACATTGCCAGCGGTGACGAGCAAGTCGAGCAGGACTGGGAGAGAGTTGTTGGGATGGCTCTCGTAGCGAAGCCCATAAAGAGCTACCAGGCGTACTTTGCTATCCGCAGGGACATTTGGTAACTGGATAATCCGTTGAAGTGACTGCAAGATCGATTAGCATCGACGTAATCCGAATCCCTGAAGCACAACATACCTTGAGGTCATTGGAGTGGTTATCAGTACAGGCCAAGCTCTGCTCCAACTCACTCACATCCAACAAATTATCCTCACCAACTCGTCGACTCAGTTCGCCCACCAGAGTGACGTGCTTGCTCACGTTGCCAGAGAGCTTGCGGAATTCTGGATAGTCCTCCACAAACCGCTTCATGTCGGCAATGGAATCGATATCCATATTGCTTTGCGTCTTGACCTGGTATTGCTCCACATATTCCTTGATGTTCTGTCCCAGGTCGCCAAAATTTTGATACATGTTCTTCTTGAAGAAGGGGTCTTGGTCTTGAGCGAGAACAATCTCCTGCAACTCCGGCCGGATGTCCGGTACATCGTGCAAGTCGACTCGTCCGTTATTGATGCCGAGAAGCTCGTGCACCATGGCCTGGTATGTCCATTGTGAAAGCAGCGGTGTGATAGGGTCATCACGACGGTCCAGAATAAGCAAGATGGGCGGCGTGTCCGTCCGGCGGAAATTAAACAACTGCTCCTCCTGCGTGATATGGTATCGAACTTCCGTCGCCAGTTTCCGAGCCAGGAGGCTGTTCTTCTCGTAACGGATCAAGGGGTTCTTTTTCAGCGATAGCAGCAGAGCCAGAGTTCCCTCGGTGGCCCGCTGCAACGCGTCCGGATTCCATAGATCCGGCGAATGGCTCCATAGTCGGGAAAGTGGGAATCCGAGATTTAGAGTACATAGATCCGGGTTTATGACGAGGAAATCTGCAAATTGTTCCTGCACACATTGCACGACTTCGTGACTGTCTGCCTCGGCAAGTCGCTCGAGAGAGGACTTGCGGATGATGTTGCTTAGGTAGATGTAATATTCGCCGTACTTGGGCTCTCGAAGCTCATCGATAAGGAGCTGGATCGAGTTCGGGGAAGGTCGCACAAAGCACAGGCATCGCAGATGGCGCATCTTCTCGCGCGCGGCGTTGTCCAGGCGGTCAATGAGGTAGACTTCATGGTTCAGGAGGGCGGATTGAGTGATGGCGGTCGAAACAATGGAGACCTGGATGAACAGCGATTAGTCTATCGTATCCGGCAATGGTTTAGTCAAGCGCAAGTCCCACTGTCTCACTATCCAAAAGCAGGATTTTCATCTTGGTGGATGATGACCCTGAAGCCGACTCGCCGGCCGTCACCATCTTGGAGATGTAGCCCGAGACGGCCGCGACGACGTCCATGATGGATAGAGAATGCGCCCTGGCGCGGGCGATCGACGGCAGAGAAAGGAAGAGGACAAAGCTGGAAGGAGGTTGCAGCTGATCTCGGTGGTTGGTGTCTTGCCCGCGGGGGGGGGGTGGAGAAGGACGAGGTGGTCGAATGTTGGGGCGCGTCCGCTTTTCCACATGACGTCCTCACCTGTCGATCTGTCGACGTCTTTTTCTTGTTCCGCTCTTGCATTTCTTCTTTACCAGCTTGCATGCGTTCTTTTCTCCTGAACACTGGTCTTCTATCTGGGTCGACACCATGTTGCCCTATGTAGACGCTTGTTCGTTCCTCCATATTTTCTCCCTGTGAAGCTACCATAGCTGTTGGACCTCGGACTGACCTACCTCTCCGCAGTGTTTAGCTACTCTGCTCAGCTTACCGGCGCCTCGGTGGATGAGCGTACGTGTTCTCTTCTCACAGCTTGCTCAGCCTCGAGTCGAAGCTTCTAACGCTCCTTTTTAGTCAAGCTGATCGGTTCATTCCTGCTCTCCTATCCACTCGCCGCCTTGCTGAAACGGATCCCCGACGCCCAGCCTTGGAAAAAGAATGCGTTCATTATCGGTGTCTCGCTCTTCTACCTTGTCGGTCTTTTCGACCTCTGGGATGGCCTGCGTACACTTCTTTACAGCGCAGCCGGCACCTATGCCATTGCCTACTATGTGGATGGCTCGTTGATGCCCTGGATTGGGTTCATCTTTCTCATGGGCCACATGTCGATCAACCATATCTACCGCCAAATCCTCGATGACGCGCAGGCAGTGGATATCACAGGAGCGCAGATGGTGCTGGTCATGAAACTTCATTCCTTCTGCTGGAACATCCATGACGGTCGTCTCCCTCAGGAGCAGCTATCGGATGCGCAAAAGTACTCTGCGATCACCGAATTCCCCAGCATTTTCAACTACCTGGGCTACGTCTTGTTCTTCCCATCGCTCTTTGCTGGTCCGTCATTCGAGTACGTCGACTACCGCCGCTGGCTGGACACAACCCTGTTCGATGTCCCCCCAGGCACAGACCCAGCCAAGGTCCCTCTAACCAGGAAGAAGCGCAAGATCCGCGCAGCGGCACTCCTGCTGCCAAGAAAGCCGCCATCGGTCTTTTCTGGATCTTCGCCTTCCTGAAGCTGGGAGGGTGGTTCACTACGGAATTTGCTTTGTCCGATGAATTCCTAAAATTCTCCTTCCCTAGCCGTGTTTTCGCCTTATACATGCTCGCCTTTACCACACGGCTGAAGTATTACGGTGTGTGGTCTCTGACTGAGGGTGCTTGTATCCTCTCCGGTATGGGATACAATGGATTCGATGCCAAATCAGGCAGAGTCTTCTGGAACCGCCTCGAGAACATTGATCCTTACAGTCTTGAGACCGCCCAGAACTCATATGGTTACCTCGGCAGCTGGAACAAGAACACCAACCACTGGCTGCGCAGCTATGTCTACCTGCGTGTCACCCCCAAGGGCAAGAAGCCGGGCTTCCGCGCTAGCATGGCTACCTTTGCGACCAGCGCTCTGTGGCATGGCTTCTATCCGGGCTACTACCTGACCTTTATACTGGGCTCCTTCGTCCAAACCGTTGCAAAGAGTATGACTTCACTCCTTCCACGGCATTTCCACCTGATATAACAATTGTCTCTGCCTTGGATCTAATGCTGATACCTCACAGACTTCCGCCGCTACGTGCGCCCCTTCTTCCTCACCCCTGACGGCACCAAGCCAACCCCCTACAAGCGGTACTACGATATCGCCAGCTGGCTAGCAACCCAACTCACGCTCGGCTTCGCCGTACTCCCCTTCATCCTTCTCGGCTTTGCTGACTCAATGACCGTTTGGTCCCGCGTCTACTTCTACGGTATCATCGGCACCGCGTCTTCCCTCCTCGCCTTCGCCTCCTTCTCCCCAGTGAAGGCGTATCTAGTCGGCCAGCTTAAGCGCCGCAACCGGCCTCACATCCCGCGCACAATGAGCCAGGAGACCTTGCGCCCGCCAACACTGGGTCTGCCGAATGACCCGGAGCGCGACTTTGATGAGGCCGTTGCTGAAATCAGGTCGGAGATTGAGTCTCGGCGTCGTAGGGGGAGTGTGGTTACTATGCCTACTGGGGAGGAGTTGAAGATTGCTGTTGAGCAGAAGATTGGGCGGAAGCTTTGAGATTTGCGAAGAACTGCTTTTCATAGTCGGATGGCTTGTGGGTTAGAGCTTGTATAGATAGTGTGATGGGAAAGAGTGTGGGTTGACCCTTTGATCTGGGTATGAGATCGAAGCTGGAATAGGTCTTGTCTTGTTTTGTTGGGCCGTGTCCTTTGCGAATAGCGATTAGAGAGTTTCTCGTTATTAATCACGACAGATGTCATTTCGGGTTTCAGATGACTGATTGGGAAAGGGCCTTGTACATTACACGATTCCGTAGCAATGCATTGCGCGGTGCTATCAGTGTTGACTATTAGCCATTATTCGAGCACGACCGGCATCTAACGAGTCCTTCCATAGTCCTATCTTATTCTTACAAGATTCTATTTCTCTCGCACCTTATACTTAGTAATATTAATACACTGTATGGCCGAGTTTATTTCAGCTTATTTCGCGGAATGAAGTTCAATTACAGAATGCCTTGATATTGACACATCAGGTTCAACTCTCATACAAATCAATCTTCAATGTGCCTAGCCGCCCCTTTCTTAGCGGGTAAGCCTAGATAATACTATCTATATTACTACCGAGTCGAACCTACACGAACTCTCTTAGTATCTAGAGTCTTACTAAGCCTAGGTCAGAAGTAGATTATAATTGACTTGCCTTAAGAGGACTATCCGCTTTAACCTTAGCTTTAACTTTAAGTATATAGAATATACTTAATATTATTAGGGGGAGTATATATTAGGCCTAAAGTTATTCTATAATTTGGGCTTTGACCCACGAATCCAGTTCCTTTGTGATGTGCAAGTGAGCTCAAGCAGGGTTGGATGGCAGCAACGTCTGTTTCGAGAAGGAGAAACGACTAGCCAGTGTAACCTGGTAGGCTCGCCCGTAGAACAGGCTTGTTAGCGAACCCGATCATCGATCGTTTCTTGGTCTTTGCCTCCCGAGTGACTTTGTCGGTCCGCGGTGTTAGCAAAGGCTGCTGAATTTGTGACAGCTGTTGCTTGTTCTGGATGTGAAAAGAGATACGATGATGGGTTAATGACCCAGGGCGTTAATGACTAAGGGTCAATAGCACTCCTTATTGAGGTACCAAACAGCCAAGCACTAACGGACTGGGTTAACGCTACATGCGAAAAAAAAACCTGGGTTTAGAATGGATCAAGAGCTTCAATAAACAGATCGAGACGCAAACAATTGGCCATTATCGTATCCTGAATTTGCCGACAGCTATGAGAATGACCACTAGACGAATTCTGAGATTCACTGCAAAGGGAATAATATAAATACTCAATCCATGTTAGGAAATGAGTAGTGGCGCGCCAATTTATGCTTCTGTGACAGCGGCTATAGATTCTAGGGGGCTGTCGATGCTGAAAACTCCTAACTCGACTAGTATAACTTCATTAAAAATTATAAAGCTGCAATCTACCTAAATCGGATCTCGACCAACAAAGAGACTCTGCCCTGAAGGGAAACAAATGGCAATGGTGGCACTGGACTTATTATGTTCGCCCAAAGAATTAAGCTCTCCAAGAATCGCGGTAACCGTCTGTATGTGAGAATCACTCGAAGATAGCCAGCCCCTGAGAGCTCTTGCTAGCACCAAGGTGGCTCACTTGAAAGTGCTGGATTTGCTGTTTGCGGTGAATGTCGATCACTGTAATCGCAGGTTCCGTAGTGCCATTTCCAGGTGAGAGTGCATAGACAAATTCCCCAACAGCTTGGAGGTCGATGAGACCAGGATCACCGTTGGTGAGATCAACCGTTGAGATAACTTCCGCATTGACACTACTCATTTCAATAAGACGATTGACACCGACATCCGTCACAAACACAGTTCCCTGTTCCTTGGAGAACGCCGCCCAGCATGTGGCTTGTTGCCCATCAATTTGTTGCTTAGCTAAAAGTGAAACATGATTCCCGGCTGAATCGAGAGTCAGCACCGCACCGCCAAAAGCGGCATCCGTCACAAATATCCTGGATGTTCCAGGGATTTGCACAGAGCCAAAAAGAACAGCTGTTCCGTTTGGTGAGCTTTGGAAATCCCTTAAAGCAAGGGCACGGGATTTTCCGCTGGTTTCCATGATAGGAAATACCGAAAAAAAACCAGTCGTATTCTGAGTAGGATTGCCTTTCACAGTAACAAACAGTCTCGTCTCATCTTCAGAAAAGAAGGTTTGCGAGATCGTGTTGAAAGTCCCAATAGGTGGTGTTGTCTGGTGTAAATTGAGTGGTCGTAGCTGGTCGAACTCGCTTAATCCAGTTCCAGAGAACGATGCGCAGGAAATGCCCGCTCTAGCACCTGTCGTGCCAACGCATACTAAATTGTTTTTCAAGGAAGCCGCAATAGTGTTCGGAAAGTCACCAGGAATTGTTGCCGGCTCTCCTAGAAGGACTAGGTTTGTTGGATCATCCTGGGATATTTGCATCATACTTAAAGTGTTGGAACCAGGATTCACAGCAAAAAGATACTAATATATTTGTTATTCACTCCGAAAATCATTTAAGGCGTATAAATGATCGCACTTACGTTGCCACATATAGTCAAAGCACCTTGTGAGCTCAGAGCATCAGGGCCAGCAGCAAGGCCCGTTTCACTGCTAATGCTGCTGGACCCGTTGCCACCGGTAATTGTTGAGCTGCCTTCGAAAAGGGTGCCATCGGAAGCGATAGGTATGCAAGCCACAGAATTCACCTCGCTATTGGTCAAGAAGTAGACAGCCCTTCCAGCTTTTGACAAGTTCTGTTTTCCTGGGACACTGCACCCTAGTGAATCCGCCGTGGGAGCATCTAGGTGGTGTTTGTCCAGCACACGGGTCGCATCAACCGTTGCAACCAATACCAGAATTAAGTAAAACAGCATCTTGTCGGGCAATCAAAAACCTTCTCGACAAATTGCAGATCGCGAATTCTTAATGAAAGAGAGGAAAAAAGATGGTAATTGTTGGTCGATGATAACAGTGCTTTGCTATTAATCAAAGGTCAAAGTTCATGTAGATGCTCTGGATTAACGGGATACTAGCCGCCTTTTATAAAATTTTGACTGTCTCTTGAGAGTGGCGTTGGATTTTTCGCGAAATTTGGTTCGCGAGTTTCACAACAAAAGAATGCTCCAAAGAACGCCAAGACAAGTAGGGAATCGGGATTATGGAATCAGTGATCCTGCTGGATTGACAAGAATATGAAGCCCAATGTGGACATAGTTGATCAGGAATCATACCAAGTCACCCTGAGCTACATTCTTTGGCTGAAGCGCATCATAATCCTCTCTGGAGAGCCGAACGAACACAAAGCCATCTCGTCCCTAACAAATCTCGGGGTGTCGGTCTATTCATGACCAGCATTCGGGTGTACACAAAGTTGAAATTCAATAAGAAGCCAATGTGAATGGGATTAGCAACCAAGAAATATCTTGTTTGTGAGATATAACTGGTCTTCCGTGTCGTCTGGTGAAAACACTAACGGTGCCACAGGTGTGAACATGCGTCAGCCTACGAAATACGTTAATATCATGGTCTACTGCAGAAAAGAAGACATAAAAAGTGTTCCAAGGAGATGACTAAACATGGTGTCCTTAACCGCCTCTCAATTACCGTTGTTGTGGTACATCTTATCCCAAAAGCTCTTTTCACGGACTAGAACGGATGATAACGCTCTTATTCTGAACGCAACCAGAAAATGAACATGCTCGCTTCTTGGAGCGGGCTTTGTCAAAGAGACCCTCGTATCTCTTGAGGTCTTTCTTTGCTTGCCTAGAGAGAGGTGTCAATTGCGTAGGTATCGGACCTTCGGTGGGTCTGGGACTGTCTATTTTGATAACTCCGACCGAGAGGTCTGATCCGGAGGTTGTTGATGGAATTTTCGCTGTTATCCTGACTTCCTTCTCCGTTTTGCTCATATTCAAGGACTCATCTGGATGAGGTTCACTATTGCCAAAGTCGTTAGACTCTTTGATGTACCGTAGGATCAAAGCGTTGAACTGACTTTGTTCTGCAAACTGATATGAACCCGGCTTCTTCTCGCACGTTAAATGGAGAGCCCTGATGGTACATGTTTGTAAATTATGCTCCTTGTCGAATATTAGAATTGTGTCAGAGAACTCACAATTTGCAGGGCAGGCCTCTTTTCTCGAGAGATTAGGCCAGTAAAGCCTTGGCATAAACCACGCCAACACTCCATTTTCAATGCCTATTTATAAATCAAAAGATACCCAATGGATATGCTTTGTCCGAGGCCGTCAATATGGTGTTGGTACCGGTGCAGCACGAATAATAAACAGGACATGTGCTTAAAAGTATGCATCTTTTCATTAGCAAACAAACAACAAATCATGAATTCGGAATTTGCCGTATTGATCAACAAGACGCAAGGGAGACTTATCCATGCCTATCTGCCCATCCACTTCGTTGAATTCCTGGTAGCAGCAAGGAAATTGAATTGATCTTCCAGAACTGAAAAGCAAAATGTGCGCGCATCACATATCTCACTCTCTCTATATCCACTTTTCCTTCCCCCTTTCACGACCCGGGGGATTTCTTTTGGTGCGTACAAGCCATCAAGGGACAGGAGTGCTATGAGACTCGGTCCGCACACAATAATAAAATTCCCCAGGCGAATGATAGTAGCCTGAGCTTCATTATTCATTGTTTTTGGGGTACCTCGGACAATGTTGATTGGAATAACAAAAAGTCGTATGCCATAATAAATTGGCTGGGCAGCGGAGAAGCGAAACCGAATATTCCAGATCCTATCCACGTTAGGAAGGCCAGGTTTTCAGTTTGGCCCATACTTACAGTAAAACCTGATTCCCAAAGTCGAATACGCGTCACTCCGTCCATTTTCGACGTGCCATAATATCTGTCGCCGGATCGATTGACGATGTAGCCACGCCCTTCAGTCGCGAGCCCAATAGCCCATGCCGCTAGCTCACGTCTCAGCGCTCTAGCTTGATCAGGGAGACAAACATGGCTGATAGTTTGTACAAGTATATGCGTCGGTTGGTTATCCGGTAAATAGGTAATACGAGACTAAGCGTCATCGGGAATTCGCGATTCAGCCATAAATCAACAACTCGAAATAACCCGCTGTCTATGCATTTTCTATGAAAGGTCCCCTTTTAGACCTAGGATTCTGACCACAAATCTCGCGCAGCAGGATTGCATACGCTTGGAACCCAAGCAAAATCCAGCAGTACCCTCTCAACTTCATCCCACGACCGAAGCTTCAAATCTTCAACTATTTCCATCACTCTCGCGCGGAACCACTTTCGCTGCTCTTTCACATAGGACGAGGCTCCCGCAACGACTAAACACCATAGCAGCAGTCGTAATAACTTACGGTTATTAAGCCCACCCGGCAGAAGCGATATTCTCTCCTGGACTCGAGAGGCAGCTAGCTCTCGTGCGTATTTCGAACGAGGAATGGGAAATGTCACCAAGATACCATATAACTGTGCCGTCCACCGACACACCGAGTATATTTCGACAGTGGCGTTAGCTTCAGTACGTTCGTTAGATAACGTGGGAAATGAAAGGCGCTGTTGCATGGTCATCACATCAAAATCGTGGGGAGATGGCAGGGACAAGAGTCTGTGCATCATGACATCGCGGCTATCAAACATGTCGTCCATGTTGATATTAGTGATTCGACCCGTAGAATATGCATCCAATGTTGCAGAGAAATCTCCCAGGGCAAGGAAAACTTTCACAACTTCATCAGCCAAGCCTAGGTCGTTGAGGACCGTGAAACCACGGCCCATCGGGCATGTAGGTTCCCATATACTTTGCGGGACAAAGTCGTCGTACTTTTTCATCGTGCATGGTTTTCCTCCAACATCCAACATTGGGTATGGAGGCCGGGAGAGCGTGCTGGAAGCCATGATCAATGCTGCGCTACTGAAGTTAGGTACATCAAATAGACAACTAAGTAGGAAAAGGGATAGATGATAAGGGGACTCACCAGGAAATAACCCATGGAAGACCAAAAGATTTTATTTTTTGAAGACCGCCCCGCTTCTCAACGAGCTGCAGCACAGCATTCCAATGAACGTTATGGCAAGCAAAAGCACCGTATGTGTCTAACCAACGGCCACTCGCCAAGATAGGATAGAAAGGTGATGGGTCGCGAGCCATCGACTGGTCACTGTCCTGCACATTTGTGGCAAGGCATATGGTAATCATCAATAGATCTTCGAGATGATCAGGGGTCGTAATCGCGCTGGAGCAGTCAATCTGCTCCTTTGTAGCCATGATAGCTTTCGTTTCAAGAGCGATCAGCTCGCCCTTATTCCGCGGCTTCTGTCCTGCCAGGCTCATCCGGGATGATAGATGACAAAGGGCGGAAAATAGAAGCGCTTGGTACAAGGCGGGGTTCTCAACGGTCCGGGGAAGCCAATACGCAGGAAATGGGTTTGCGGACCCTCTGAACCTATTGCGGAAGCCAGGCCACAATCGTGAGGAGATGTGCTCAATCAGCTCTGCGTCATACGGTTTGCCGATTGGCAACGACAAAATACCCAGCCGATCGAACACCGGTTTTTCATCTTCGGGCCGTGTGGGGCTTTCTTCATCCGAACATTGTCGATCAGAATCACTGTCTCCAGACGTTACGTGATTCACGAACACGGGTTCGCGAACAACAGGTAGAGCAAGAGTAGCGCGTTGCGCAACTCGTTTTCGCAGGCTTTCGTTGGCGACGTGTCTCCGAACACAACCCCGCCCAGTGCGACCCACACCACCGTGGCGACCCGTGTGCTCAATGAAAGTATATTTGTCGCTCTGATCAAACTGTCCCATTCTGCAAAGAAAAAGTGATGCCACTTTCTCACTACTACGGTGTATGGTGACCACGCAAAGTGAAGGGCCTGAAGCTATTTTCACTGAAGCATTTGAATGAAAGACCGTCTTTATGATCCCCCGCTTTATCTGGCAAGCTTATCTATTCGTCATTGACCTACAGCTAAGTTAACTTATCCGTGGGCCGATCGATTCCTTTCCTTCCGAGGGCTGTTCAACGGGTATCTGATTGGCGCTCAAGCATGAGCTTATGTGATATTTGTAATATGGGCAGATTCTTCCGTGGATTGATTCTGAAGCTTCGCCGCCGATCTCAGTCTCTGTGAGGGATATTTGTTTAGGTTTAGCCGCCACATTTCATGAGCCCGCTAGACCAAATCAAGCCATTCCTGTGATCAAAACACTTTGTGTCAGCCCTAATTCTGGCGGTAGACCTAGAATGAATCCCTAACATGGTCCCCTACCAAGTCGCCGAAGTTTGCTCGTGGTTATGAGACTCCACCAAACACCTTCGCAACCCGGGCGACTACCAACCTAATAGGCGAATAATTATGAAGAAAGAACAGACTGACCTGGGCGACCGATGGTCTTCGAAAGGTGAATTGGGGTATTTTGGTTATTTATACTTATTGACCCTGTTTAAGTTTCTCTTGAAGAGTTTCGCTGAGGAAAAATTATCCCGGCACCTAAATCAAAGACTACATGAGCATCCAGCAATGCGAAAATCTAGGCGCTCAGAACAGAACGACAGTCCCAACTACGGCATCAAATAATTATTTCATTTTGTACCTACTCCCATCCGAGGTGCCTTTTAGCTATATCTTATGGGAAATGAAAAGAGCTAAATTTGAATTCTAATTATTTCCACCCCTTGATTTAAGAGTACAGGTAGGAAGAGCGTGAGTTACATAAATTTATTACGGATCTAGTTGTACTGGGTAGAAAGCCTGTTAACCAGGTGAGGCATGAGAGCCAGAAGAAGGAGGTTGGAGCAGGTGATGGATCGCCTTAGCACAGGAACTGATTATTGAAGAAGGCAACTAGATACGGAACATATGTGCGATCCGTTTATGCCCCTCTCCTCTAGTGAGGGCTTAACTCCCTAGCTGCAGTTATTGTACATCTAATCAGCCACATATTTCCCGTCGCATGGGGCAGGATTAGAAGTCTCTGGGAGACTGCTTCAGTGTTCTGAGCATTTAAGGCTCCATCGCTTTAAATCCATTGTATCAAGACTACTCCGCACATGGCTGCTGTCTTTATATATAAAACCTGTTCAAATTTCTGAGAAGATACATGGCCACTAAATGTGTAGGCTTTTTAGTTCATTGGGATTCCGCAAAATCTAGTCAGTATTACCACATTTATCACCACATTTAACTATGCAGAGCGGAATCGCACAGCCTCGGCCGTCGTTTAGACACCTATCCTCGTAATTAAGTGCTCCTACCTGGGCATAATTCCCAGCTGCCTCTCAACTGCTGCAAGAACCTTGTCAGGCATACTCAAGAATGGCGAGTGACTAGCCTGAAGGACATCGGTACAAAACGATATGCGATACCGCTCACTGATGGTTCCGACCATCCTTTTCTGTACTGCGTATGGGAGGGCCTGGTCAATAGTGCAGTAGAGATACGAAACAGGGTGGAACTTGTAAGCTGCATAGGTTATCGGTGCGACCTGTGTTGAGGCAGGGCTTTTCAGCATCTCGCCTGCCCATTGCTCCTGTTCGGCTGGAGGTAGGTCATGATAGAACATTTTCTGGGGGCTGCTCATGATGCACATCTCTTGTTCCTGGATGTAACTGGATGTAAGGTCTCATTAGTAGACTGACTATGCAAATTGTGGGAAAGCTTTTGAAGTAATTGATATGAAGCACAAAGTCTTTGTCCCAGGTGCTTGCTGCATGCATATGGCCATTTACTTACATCCACGGGAATGAATGGCGGAATCGTACCGCCAAGAGGGTCACACAGACTCGACCCAACAGGAACGAGGAAAGCAGCAATGTAAATAATGCGGAAGACGCCGCCCTTTTGCCCCGCTTGCGCACGAGTAGCCTTGCTGGAGCGTCCTTGGACACCTTCGGTGGCAACGATGCCGCCGTAAGAATGCGCCACCACGGCAACATCTTTGCCCTCGGTCTCGACTAGACGAGCCAGCTCATCGGTGATGCACTTGGCGTCATCCATCATGCTAACGGGGAGCAAATTACCCACGCTAGGCTGCCGCGGGCATTTCGTCTCATAGCCTGCCTCTTCAAAGACGCGCCGCACACGCTCGAAGTGCGCTGGCGGGTGCCAGGAGCCGTGCACGAAAAGAACGTGGGTTTGGGGGACATTGTCGAGACGGCGGAAATACTAGTCTGAAGTAAAGGAATTAGAGCTTTTGGTAGTTTTAGAAATGTAGAACTTCATGGCCTTTATGTATTCCACATGTAGGTAGAAGAAAAGGTTATCTTAGCGTGCTTCTTCAATTTCGATTTCTTTACACGTAACACAGGTGTTTTCATTTATTTTCTTCAAAGGTCAGTTCATGTATTAATCTTATCTACTCATTCGGTCTATCCACCAAATGCCCCACAAAGTCCTAATTGAGTAAATGCTGTTTCCGGTGTTGCCACAGTGGCTACGCAAAAGCCTTAGCGCCGATCGAGACCGATTTATCGCACCGCCCGTGCCAAGGCTCTACCACCTACCAGTTCGCTCACCCAAATGATGTGACTGCACAGTGACACCTCATAAGTTTTAACAACACCAGGCCTCACTTTCAGACCGCCTATGTAGATAATCCACTGCCTCCCAAAACATGTAGTAGAAAATCTAGAGCAGCTATCAGAGATCATACCTAATAAGGTCGAAGCAATCACTGAATCAGAGAGATTGTGTGTACGCCCTATTCGGGTCTACTAGGGGGTATTATCCGTGCCTTACCGCCCACCCAAACCCTATCAATATTTTTCACTCACTATCTGACTCACTATTTGAAACTAAATTTGACTCAATCTCCCACCTAATTTCGTACTCGATTTCCACTATGGCAACCCTACTTGATCAAGCGTACGATTTCCGTGAGGAATTGCTTTCAACTCTCCGCAACTACGCAGTTTCTCAAGGCTACGCCATCACTACGATTAGATCAAACGCAGACAGAAATATCTGTATTGGCTGTGATCGTGGTTGCCAGTCTACCGATCGTATCAATGCACCGGAGGGGGCAAAGCGCCGGAAGACTAGTACTAGGCGAATTGGATGTAAGTTTCTCTTATATGCCAGCAAATCAAGTGCTAAAATTCAGATAAGAAGTGTTATATAAAAGTAAGTAATCTTGACCATAATCATGAGCTTGAAGACGATATGATTGCCCATCTAGCTGCACGTGCGATTACTGTAGAGCAGCGAAGTACTATCTCCAATCTTCTTAATGAGGGTATCCCTCCACGGCAGATTATCAGCGTGATGAAAAAGACTGATCCTACTCTATTAATTACACCAAAGGATTTATATAACCTTAGACAGGCCCTTCTACGTGAACGCCTTGCTGGTCGTAGGCCAATTCAATATCTTCTAGACCAACTGCTTGCTCATCAGTGGAAATTTACATTTAAACAAGATATAGAGGGACGTAATACATTTTTTATGTTTGCCCAACCTGAATCAATTCGATACTAATCAGTATAATAGAGTGTTTATTTTAGATTGCACATATAAGACGAATCGCTATGAAATGCCATTACTCCATATTATAGGTGTTTCACCATCAAACACGACGTTTAGCGTCGCCTTTTGCTTCATGCAAAATGAACAGGAAGAGTCATATAAATGGGCATTAAAAACTTTCTTCTCGTGGCTTGAATCGCTATAGGCTCATCGATAATATATTGATTCCAAATCAAACGCCTAAACAGGAAAGTCATCACTCCCGTACCCCACCCCCCCCCCTCCCTTCAGGGGGGTCAAATCCAAGTCTTTGAAGCCAAATACGAAGGCAAAATGAATTGCCCTGTCAGATAGGAGTCATGAGCTGGATTCCAAATTTGAATGGCTCCCTAGATGGGCTGGCGGTGGAACAGTCGGGGTAGAGGTATCGCTCACACCAGGGCTGGAAGCATCGAAGTCGTGGGGGCGTGTGCTGATTCGGAAATGCCTGAGGAAAGGACTAGACAAGCGGCTGTGGCCTGGTCGTGCGGTTGTATCTTCGATGCCCGCACCCTCCCGTTGGCTGACTTGACGGATATGGCGCAAGGAAGCAAGACGTTCCTCAACGGTGGCATCGTGTATGCGCCGGACGTTCAATGGACCGTAGGGATAGTTAGTGAGTCGATAGCGAGAGTGGCGGGACTGCGTGCCGTCAGCTATTGTGGAGGTGGACTCCTCCGTGGCAGCATTCTCGTCGGCATGCTGCTCGGCATTCTCTCCTTCTTGTTCGGCCTTTTTATCGGCCTTAGGAGGGTTGAGATTAATGCGGCTGTAGGTGGAGTTAGAAGTTTTGCGATTTATTGAGGGTATATAGTTGTCATTCTAAGAGTCAGAAGTACAACCTACCAAAGAGGGCAAGTGCCAGAAAAGTTCACGAGCCATGGGTCAATGCACTCCGGATGGAATTGGTGGTTGCAAGTAAGGACACGTAGGTCCTGGCCCCTGACGAAATCATCGGTACAGATTGGGCAGGAGACGTTACCTTCGTCAGGGGCTGCATCCTTCTTCGACTCACGATCGGCGGCCAGGGTGGTAGGTTGCTTGGATGGCTCCTCGGTGGTTGCCAGCTCAGGTTCATACAACCTGGTAGACTGGCCGACGCTGGCGATGCACTCGGAGCGGGAAGGAGAGTGCTCGCTAGCAGGGCCGTTAGCTATCATCTCCACGTCGCACCTGGCGGCATCGACCCCGTCGTCGTCATTGTTGAATTTGACAATAGGGATGGTGTCTAGTACAATTTGCGCTATACCTCTCGCTCTACTTCGTCTCGGTCGCCCAGCGAGCGTGGCTTGTGTTATATCTCCGGCTCTAATTTGCGGGGTTCGTCCAGCGACCAGGCGAGGTATATACCGCCCGGTATGGCGGCGGGAACAGACAGCGCCGGTAATGACAATAAGCAAGAAAATGGCTGCAAAAGCACCAATAATGCCGTACACGATAACCATTCCTATAGCAGGCAATTAATACTCGGACTCGTGGATTTGGTGAGATACAGGTTGTGCAAACGAACCAGTTCTTGGGCCCTCAACGGGAACGCTAGCCCCACTGCTACTAGTAGTGTTTAACCCGGTAGCGGTTGGGTGAGACATGAGGACAACGAACTAAGTCTCGTTAACAGTAGCGGAAAATGTATTCTCGATTACTATCGCAAGGTGACGGTGAAATTATATGTCTCGGTCTGAGCATTCGACGTTGGATCATAGTGGTTGTCAGAAGCACTCTAGAGCACATTCATTGGTAACGGCTACTCGGCAGAAATGGCGTTCTCAACCATATTACTGAATCCGTAATTCCCTGGATCATCCACGGAATCCAAATCGGACGGATTACCGGCAACCGACGAACTCTATATAGAGACTACGTTTAAGCATTCACGTAGGTGCCAGTGCCCTCGCTACTGAAGTCTTATAGAGTGGCAATTAGCATGCCTGGTGAGGGCAATGTATTTTAAGTCTAAGATATGAGCAACAAACGAGAATAAGCCTAGACTTGGCTGGAGAGTGGACTAGACACCTAGAGGCGGAAGTGCGCGGGATAGGACCAAGCCATATCGAGGTCGTTGTTCGAGGATGACTGTCCGTCCGATTATGAGGATTAGGGTGGCCTTCATAGAGCCATTAGTGAGTTTCATTATCCACATTGGGTAGATCGGTCATGGTCCTATAGGCTTAAAGAATCGTGTTGGTATTTCTCCCTGTGCCGGCATCTATTACGTATCTGTATGGCGTATTGCCTTCGTGATACATCTCTGTGACCTCTCTTTATCCTACAATGTGCGCAATAAGCTCTGCTATTTGGCCTGTCTTCTTGGTTGTCATTGAGTAGTGCCTATGATTTTAGGAAAACGCCGTACTGGAGGACATCTGTCTTCTCCTATTTGTGAATGCCATTGTCTATGAGTCCTGGTCTAGCCCTATCTGCGGGGGATCGGGCGGAAGGTTCCTACATAGGAGTGCCCATCTTTCTAGGGCTACTGCCTGGCGTGGCCTATAGGATTCGTCTTGGTGTGTTCGCCTCTATTTCTGGCCCTTGGCCCTATATGGCCTTTCTGTGGCTCTTTTGGGCATTCTGGAAGTTGTTCTATGTGTACTGAGCATGATTTACCCGTCCATCCTCTTTTGCAGTCTTAACCTATCTGCCGGCGTTGCTGACCTCGTGGTTCCACTATGGGGCTACTCTCCTAGGCTCCCTTTTCATCACAGTATAGACACGGTTGCGATCCGCTGGTTGTCCTTCAGAGGGTCGTCATATTGTGCCTCGATTTCTGACGGTGTTGTCCTTCTAGCCGGGCAGCTTAGGTGTGCTGCCTATACTGTAACTCTATTCTTGTTCATCACCCACCAGTTGAAACTTTCGTTGCTTAGAGAGGGGATAGTATTTTTCTTTTCTAAACGGCCTGTGATCTCATCATCGAGCACAACAGGATGGCAGATGTAAACCTTGGCAGGCCTCACAACTATTCATTGGCCACCTTAATTTGAGTCATATCTGACTGTCTGTGACACCAGATTCAGAAACACTTCTTTTTGAATGACTGCCCCAAATCTTTGCAGGAAAGTATTAGCGGCGAAAAACGACTTCGATCTTCCACATAGAGAAAGCACGGTACTAGTATGCTTACCCATGGCATTCCACGTATCTCAGTGCCTTTTCCGTCAACTCCTGCAGTTGTGCTATCGCAAGAACAGATATCACATTGTGCTGCTGCAAGTAGTCCCAGGCTTGAATAGGAGTAAACTCTTCGCCAAGTACAAGGTCTCGAGAAAGGATTAAAAGACGATCAAAAATCGCCGTCGGTGCTTCCCACGTTATGGTTTCACCGGGAAGATGGTGTTGAGGGGATGATAGATGTACCAACGGCGCAGTTATTGTCAGGGCATGTCCGCTTGACTCATTGCCACCGGTTGTAGGCGCGTGAATGTGATGACGACACGGACCTTCGAGCCTAGATACCAACAACAAGTCTCAGAACAAGTCGAATAACTTCTGGGGAAGGGGACATATACGCCAAAACAAACTCCACACCAATCTGAACCAAGTCTCCACCGCTGATATTTGAAGAATTACTAGACGGGGAAAGGCAGTCAGGTCTTTCGGAAAATTTCAAAGCCGCTAGAACCGTCGCATTTGCACATGTATAACTTAGTCAAAACTGATCGGGGGTTATGGGATGATTCTGGAATGTACATACGCGAACTCTGGTACCTCGGAACACTCGAAGACTTATCAGAGTCATGCACCAACTCTTGAGCAGGTGGTGGAAATGCAGCAAAGGTCGTTCCTCGACCAGTTGCGGAATTATCGATATCCCGATTCTCCGCTCCGAGCTGAGCGCCAAGAAAGTGAAACTGAGGCCCGGTGTTGATGTCAAACTTAATATTGACAACAGGACTACGCCTATCATCAATAGAATAAGTGCCTAGATCGCCCGGCTGCGTCGGGAATGTCGGCACTTCGATCGCGTTTTGATTCAATATATTTTCGAGTAGACCATTGTAGGATCTCAGTTTCTGAATCTCTTTCAGTAGGTTCGTCTCTCGGGTACGAAGCTCAAGAATTTCGGTCTCAAGAGCCTTGAAATATCTTTCTTTTCGCTCACGGTGATTCCTACCGCTGCGTAAGTCGCAGAATGTACAGAATACGATGCTGTGGAGGTCTCACCGTTGGGCCTTTCGGACCTGTTCTCGACGCCTAGACTGTTTGAATTGTTGGCTATTCACCTGGGTTTCATTCTCGGAACCTAGATGGTTTTCTTTGATTAATTGTTATCCCAAGTCCATGTATCCCAATATAGCCTTGAGTTTTCTTGCCACACTAGCGTCAAATGGAAATGGAAATAAACCCCGCAGCGATAAGTGACGCCGCAAAATAATCCACTCACCTATCGAAGACCACCGATCACTTAGGAAGGTGTATGCCTTTTTCATGACTATTCGCCTATTTAGTTGGTGGTTTCCCTGCTAACAAATAGACGTGCACCGAGATTGATGATAATGGTGGGCAAACACCAGCAACCTGGTGGCTCCGCGAGTTCATTTTATTACGCTTACCCGGATTGGGGCAGAGGCAAGGTGTTTAGGATTACACTATCAAATTTGCCTTGATTTGGTCTAGCGGTTAATTAGAGTTCAAGCCTTAGTTAGTTTAAAGCTGAATGGTGGAGCCTTGATACTGGCGCTGTGATGAGTGGGTCTCTTGGGGCCCTAAGACTTATCGCCCTAGCAGCACGGGAGACAGCATTAACTAAATTAGTACTTGTGGGGCACTTGGTAGCCGCCACGCCCCACCGCTGTAACCAACCCCTGGATGGAAGAGTTCTTCATAAGCTTATGTGGGTCCCTTTGTCGTGAACGAATACGAGTACGCGAGAGGCTTGCAAACCTTCTTTCCGACAGCCGTAAATACTCCATGTTTCTTAGACAAGAAAATCGACGTACGTATTCTAATTTACTCCGTAAAAACACAAGAAATACCCATGGGTGAACAATAAATATACCTGTTCTGAAGTCAGATAGTGGTAGTTGTCCACCCTTTCAATCTGTCACATTTATTTCATCTCCACCGACTACACTATCTAGTGTGAGGATGGGAATTCCTAATCATGCACGTATGCACGACACCATCTCATCAGATTCGGGATCAATCCCTAAAATCACACAGTGTGTCAGCCTCCATCTTCCACCTATTATTTCCAGGCAAGATTCTCCAACAGCATTTCTCGTGCGCCTCTGCAAAGTCTGATAGAAGGCCAGGAGGGCATTAATTACAGTTGGGGCATATTGGCTCATGTTTCCACTTTCTCGTCGACCAACAGTAATTTTGCGCAATATTTCATTCTCCCCGTGAAAATAGACGAAATCAAATAGTAATATACGGAAAGGGTGAAGTCCGTCCGAATTAACGCATATACACTACGTATCACATCTCAAACAACAACACTACAGAAGTCTCCTCAAGATATAAATCTAGTGACCGCTCCCGAATTAGATACAGATACCTCCAACATGTTCTACCTGGGTGTTCAATATAGGTATTGCGAACAGGGCATTTAGCGTGGTATATATATGGTCGCCGCAGACTTTTGCGTGCCACTTAACTTTGTTAAGATCTGTAATATTTCGCCGGGTACCAACTTGCTGGCTAGCGGCTGGAGATGCGCTAAATGATAGGGGAACTAACCAACAAAGCAGCAGATCAATGCATGCGGGCGTCCACCCATAGAGTCAGGCCTTCCACATTTCTCCTACTTGCTTTCGCTCTGTCCTCTTTGAAAATTTTCCCTTCTCCTTGCAGAACAGTGGCTGCATCATCAATGGGCTCGCTGATTTGGTGGTGCTTACCCCGAAATCTTAAATACCGGAGATACTCGAGCAGATCGCACTTTCCTCCTTCTTCTATGGGATAGAGTCTCAGTGTTGAGATTTGCGAATCCTGTCAACTGGACCGAAAGCGTGAATAATCTTTTACTCCAATTAGTTCCTCCCATGTCTGGTCTGGACCATCTTGAAGAATATCTGGTTTTAGCTACTGCTCCCCCTCGCCTGCCAATTAGCCTTCGTTCCCCAGCTCCCTACAATGGACGAAAAAGGCCCTATGATTTCGTTTCCCGCCATAGCACCATGGCCTGCACTACCAGGAAGGCCTACACCAGGACCTGGATTAGACAAAGAAAAGAGAAGTATGAAATGGCATCGATTGCTTGTACAGAATGTCGACGACATCGAACAAGGGTACACAATGTTTACTTTTCTATCTGTTCCTTTCTGGCACGTTAAACCCGCCGCCTGTTAGCACCGTCTAACCCTCCTTCTCACTAGTGCCATGGTGGAAATCCGTGTTTGGAATGCAGGGCACACGACCGCCCCTGTTATTTCGATGAATTATCAGATAAATGACGCAAAATCTGCCAAAAGAAGACCCATGCAGACCTAACATACTACCGGGA